AGAATGAGGTTGACTTTTATTGAGTGGCCAGCAGCAAACTACTGAAGACAAATGAATGTCACAGTGAAGCTGCATGTTATAAGCAGGATGATTTGAAAATATTGAGTGAAAGAATTAGAAGCAATAGTCAAGGTGGGTAACTAGATGAGAAGTAGGGTAAAGAAAATAGAGAGGAGTTGAATGAAACAAGATTATAAATATAGCAAGTAACCATAGCTGAGAGGAGACAGACTGTACTCTTGAGATGACATGCTCTTTGGCTTCACATTTTAGGTAAATGCTTTGCTATGTATGTTTTTATTAGTTCCTTTTATATCTTTTTAATGTACAGTGTATTGTCTCTCTTCCTCTTATATAACAAATAGCTATCATGCTGTATTTACTGGTCTATGTTTTGTTTTTACTTAGTTGGCAATATTTTCTAAAGCTTTTTCTGTATCATGAGCTTCCTTGTTTTTTTAAAAATATTTTTTAGTTGTAGATGGACATAGTACCTTTGTTTTATTTATTTATTTTTATGTGGTGCTGAAGATCGAACCCAGTGCCTCACACTTGCAAGGCAAGCTCTCTACTACTGAGTCACAACAGAATAAAATATATTGTATTTTAACTGATTCCTACTGATTAGCTCTCTTATATAATTATAAAAACAGTGCTCCTATCATACACAAGGCTCTGGGTTTGATTTCCAGCACTGCAAAAACAGAAAAACAGTGTAGGAGAGAATAACATAATGACATAAGTGTCATTTTATAAGTGGCCAAGTATATTTGCAGGATGAGATTTCAAAAATGTTTTCTGTAGACTTGTGCTAATTTATTCTCCTACCAGCAGTATGAAGTAGCACAATGTTTCATAGTAGGGTATTTTGTTTTTCAGTTTTTTAAAATCTTTTGCCTTATGGTTTTATGGCTTGAGGCTAAGCAAGAAATGTTCAGTCGTATCATTTTTATTCTTAGTAGTAGTAATATAAAAGCATTTAATGTCATGATAGATGATGGATAAAGAGCATTAAATAACAGATGGGCAGCAATACCTTCTTGCCTTCTTCCCACAGAGTTCCTGTGACCCAGTTTCTATCCTAACATGTTTTCAGTTGCTTTTTGATACTTAAAATTTAAATATGTATTTCTTTAAATTTTTTTTTTTTGAAACCATACTCAATGCCTCACTAACTGGCTTTGGTAGGCAGCTTTGATTTTTTGTTACTTAGTTGGTCATATGTATTTGGGAAGTGACGTGCATTGTGTATCTCACATAAATGGGCTAAATTTGTGGTCTTATTCAAAGTTTTTTTTTTTTCTGAGATAACCAAGAGATTCGCTTTAGAGATGTATTTTGGATCTTACATGTTTCCATAACAGTTTTGCGTAATATCTTTTGCCCCCAAAATTTTGACATCAGCTGCTTTTTTCCAGCAAATACAACCCCACCCCCGCAAATGACAAGATTGTTTTTTATTTTAGTTGAAGAGGATTAGATATTCTAGATATTCTAATTAGTTTTATTCTAAACCAGACTCAAAAATCGGGATAGTTTGATGGCAAAAATGGAAGTCACTTTTAGCATAAAGTTTGAGAATCACCATTGGAGGTGGTAAAGTACATCCAGGTCTCAAAGAGAGATTGTTAGTATATTATTTAGATATGCTTTAATTAGTGTGTGATTCAGATATATATTCTCTTGATCATTCATTAGAAAGAGTTAGAAATAGTCCATTTTTATTCCCAGTTTTCAGTAGTGCTTATCGGAAGCTTAAGTCTTTTTTTTATTCATGAAATCTCAATTTTGTTATGCTACAAGGGTTATAAAAAAGAAAGGAAAAATGATAGATACTTTTAAAAATACTGTAGTTAGTTTGGATGTGATTTTTAATGTTTTCAGTTTGATGCTAAGTGAATTGATAAGTTTTAGGATTGATAGGATCATGCAGAGCAATCATGGGTTACTGAGAAGCAAGAAGCAAGGGAAACTGCAATCTAGGCATCAGAAATGTGTTTGGCAATGTCTGAGCACACAGCCGTTATGAAGACAGAGGGTTGGGCCAATGATAGCAATCATAGAATATTCTTGAGATATGCTGTTTTGTGTATAGACTCATGTTATATAAAATGTGTGAATTGTTGTAGGTAAGTGTGTAGAATCTTATTTTAGTAGGAAAGATTAATAAATACTCCAATTAGATTATTTGAAGGACAAACTTGAATAGCCAGAGTTTAAAATATCAAATGCCTTAGAATGATTCAGCTAGTCATCTGGGGCTTCCTGATTGCCTTGGGTCCTGGGTCATGGGTCCTGGGGAAGTATGTTAAAGGTAATAATCCTGTTAATTTGCCTACCAGTTAATGCAGCAGACATTTGAAGAAATATGTAGTTAATCTAAATAGAGGAAAAGAAGACCCTAAAGTAAACCGATTTGTATTATTGACTTTCTTTGTAATTTGACTTTTGTCCATGTTCATGTTTAATCACAAATTTATCACAATGTTGTTCTTTATTCGTGCATTATTTGTAAACATTATTTGTAAATAATATACTATATTTTTACAGAAGGTTTAGATTTATGGAAAATTTGAGGGGAAAATGCTGTTTTCATATATTCCCTAAGTCCGCCACTCCACCAGTTTTCCCCGTTATTAACATCTTGCATACTGTAGTACTTTTGTTAACAGTTGATGAGTCAATATCAATGTCTTGTTATTAACTATAGTTTATAGTAGGGTATTCTTTGTGTGGTATATTCTGTAAGATTTGATAAATGTTTAATGATATATATCCTTTATAGAATAGTTTTTACTGCCCTACAAATCCCCTATTCATCTCTCTTCTTTCCTTTGATATATGCTGGCAACCACTGATCTTTCTATCATCTCTATAGTTTTGCCTTTTTCATAATGTCTTACGATTGCAATTCAGGATACACACACACACACACACACACACACACACACACACACACACCAGGGTCGGCTCTAGCATGTCTTCAAAACAAAGGAAAATGTTGAATTGCGGGGGGTGGGGAGAATGTTATATACATTTTTTTTTTTTTTGAAAGAGAGTTCCTTGGTGCTGTAGTGTCCTGATTGGCATGTGACCATAATTGCTAGGTAAGACTTGTAATATTGGAGTTAGGCCCTCAGGGTTGTGGCTTGGGCTTGCAAGACAGTTTTGAAACAGGCATACATTTGCTTCTCTTGGCTCCATTTCAGTTGGATGTGACACAACTGACCCTATTTTGTATACTTAACCTTTATAGATGCTATAAACATCATGTATAGATTTTTGTTTGACCATAGATTTTCAACTCATTCCAGTAAATGACAAGGGGTGAAGTTGCTGGATTGTATAGTAAGGGTATGTTCAGTTTGGGAAGAAACTGCCAAATTGTCTTTTTACCAGCAATGAATGAGAGTTTCTGTTGCTCCACATCTTTACCAGTAGTTGCTATTTGTTGTCTGTTTTGAATTTTAGTTGTTTTAGTAAATGTATAAATCTTATTAATGTTTTAACATGTAACTCTATGAGAATATAAAATGCTGAACATCTTTTAATACGCTTATTTACCATCTTTACATCTTCTTTGATGAAGTGTCTGTTCAGATCTGTTTGGTGCTCATTTTAAAATTAGGTTACTCATTTTCTTTGAGTTTTAAGTGTTCTTAATATATTTTGGATAACAGTCCTTTATTAGATATGTGTTTTGCAGATATTTTCCCCCAGACTGTGGCTTATCTTTTTATATCTTTATAAAGATATAAGAAGTTTATAATTTTAATGAAGTTCAACTTATCGAATATTTTTTTCATGAATCATGCTTTCAGTATTGTATCTAAAAAGTCATCACCAGACAGACCCAAGATCTGTTAGGTTTTCTCTTCTGTTAACTTCTAGGAGTTTTAAAGTTTGTGTTTTATGTTTAATTCTATGGATCATTTTGAGTTAATATTTGTGAAAAATATAAGGTCTTTACCTGGATTCGTTTTTTTTGCACGTAGATGATCGGCTGTTCAGATATTGTTAAAAAGACTACCCTTTCTGTGTTGAATTATTTTTGTTTGTCAAAGATCAGTTTGTGTAGTGCTACTTCTGGGCTTTCCATTCTGTTCTATTGATATGTTGTTTTCATGATTTTTCATTTTTGCCTCAATTTCATATTTATTTCAGTGTGATACCTTGTTTAACCAAGATTGAGTTTTAAAAAAAGTTGTATCTCTTGGATTTTTGTAGAGCCAATCATTTCGTAATCACTCCAGAGCTGCCTATTATATTTAAAGTCATCTTGTGATGAACATTTTATTAAGGTGAATAGTTATTCATGAAGTTTCTGAAAGTAGATTTTTCCAAATGTTCTAAAGGGGAAGCCAACTAGTCAGTTCTTATGGTATTTTATGATGTTTATATTCATTTTTTATTTGAAGCAAATCTTTAAAAAAATCTTTTTAAGTAGTATTAGGATGTGGTTAATTGTGAGGACCTAGAAGATAATCTGAATTTTTAAAGCAAGTTTTTACTTTAGAACTTAGGGATCTAACAATACTAATAAGCACTATTTTTAGTTGGATATGGATACAATACCTTTATTTATTTACTTTTATCTGGTGCTGAGGATCAAACCCAGTGCCTCACATGTGCTAGGCAAGCATTCTACCACTGTGCCACTACCCCAGCCCCCAGCCCTAAATTATTGAAACCTTATTTTCTATCAGATACAAAAAGGTTTTACAAATGCAAATACTAATTGGTTCATCACCATGAAAAGGATTACATGCTTAACTCCAAAGTGCACCGTATAGAACAGAACTGATACAGCTAAATGACTGTCCATTAAGGCAGCCTTCCACACGTGCTGTTGCTTTGATGTATCATGAACTGAGGTTGGTTAGTTCTTGCCTGGAGGAAGTGCAGTTGGTTTTCTTACTTGTAGGTTAGACGAAGTTAAGAAACTGTCATAATTGGATATTGGTATAAATGCATTAATTTTTATTTTAATTCCCAAACAGAGCAACATTTTGCAGATGTCGTACTTAGTGAAGAATTTCTCAACCTGGGCATTGAACAAGTGTGCAGCTTAATCTCAAGTGACAAACTTACCATTTCCTCAGAAGAGAAGGTAGGTATGTTTTTTTTTTTTTCCCCAGTGTATGTAGACAGAGAATGTTTTTTTCCTTTCTTTCAATTTGTTTCATAAATTTATGATCTTATGTTTATAGTGACAGCCTGTCATATTTTGTCTAGAAGTTAAGAAACTCATCTAGTTGACTTGTTGATTGACTCTGTATATTCACTTCTTGGAAGGTTTCCCAAATTGTTAGACATTAGAGTTTTATACTTGACCCCCAGCAAGAGCTTACACACATTAAACTATCTGAAACAAATACCCTTTGTGAAAAGGGTTTTTTCCTGCAGTTAGATTCCTATCAGAATTGTGATCTAAGTCATTTTTTAAAATGAGTTTGAGTTTGCCAGAAAACAGAGTAGGAAGAGCATTTCAGGGACAGGGAATAGATTATGCAAATATAAAGAAACATAAAAGAATAAGTGCATTCAGTTTGTTTAAGTATGATTGGATTTGGGACAGTGGTAAGAAAAGAAATGGGAAGATGACATCATAAAATAACTTCTTGGTGTGTTAAAAAATTAACTTTACTATAGTGATGAAGAGTCTTTCTGGGTTTTAAGCAGAAAAAGATAACCATGATAATATGTGCATAAGAGAAATATCATGAGGTCTGTTCTGTTTTCCTCCTGCTTCCTAATAAGACAGCGTAGGATGTAGTGGCACAAGCAATAACCAAATTTTATGGTCAGAATTCCTGTAGGGCATAATAGAGCAGCTTATTTCTGAGGCTTCAGTTAAGGTGGCCCAAATGGTTTAAGATATCTGGCATAGTTACCTTTGAGCCAGAGATCTGTGGCTTGAGTTCTTCAACACATGGCATCTTGTGGTTCTGGAATATTCAAGGTGGTTCCTTCACTGCCTTTGTTTACTAGGCTGAGGGTTGGCTGTTTTCTGTTTTTCTGTATGTCCTCATCTCTTCTCTCCCTTCTTCTCTATCTTGATTGGGTTTCTCATAGCATGGTGGTTTCGAATAATCAGACTTCTCACATGATATCTGGCTTGCCCAAACGAGCATTCCTACTTACAAAGCCACAAGGCTTCTGATGACCTTCAGAAATCACAAATTCTGTTTCTGCCACTCTCTGTTGTTTTCATAGCGCCATCTTAGATTCAGTGTTGAAGGTTAGTACCTGAAGGTTTGGGTCCTGGGAGTTGTGATAGAGGATGCTGAAGTCATGCTGGTGAGCAGTAGGGTCTGATGTAGGATGGTGGAACAGGAGAGAAGACAGAACTGAGAAATAATAGAATTGACAGACTGCAGACTATCTTGCTCACTTATTTATCTCTAACACCTGGCACACAGAAGTACTTAATAAGTACTTGTTGACAGAAGGAATTAAAGAGGGAAGTTAATTATAATGTGCAGCATTTTTAGTTTCTCTTACTGTATTTTTAAAAACCATTTATTGCCTCCACTAATTCATTTGCATGTTATTTTACATTTTTCACAACATTTTAAAGATTATAAAGTAATATATTTATCAGTCTGGGAGGAAATTATGTGGAAAAACACTGTCTTCATATTAGTTTATTAGCTTTCTCATAGAAATATGTTGTGAGTAGTAATGCCCTTCTTATTTAAGTTGTAAAAAACTTCAAACTATTATTTTATTTTAATATCCTACTATAGTGAGAGTGTAGAATTAACCTATTGTGCAGATCCTCATTTTATAAGCGTGTGGTCCAACATTTATTTGTTAACTAAAGAAAAATTCAAAAATGAGTTTTGTGTATGTCTACATGGTTTTCATTCCAAATATTACTGTACTTTAATATTTGGGTGCTTTATTACAGTGGAATTTGAGATTTAAATCTGTGTAAGTAGAATAAAATTCAATTTGGAAAGGTTATCAACAGTGAAATAGATCATGTATCGTATTATCACAGCTACCATTCAAATTCAGTAAGCTTAGATGATATACTTGGTAAAATGCTTGGTAAATATCAGCCAGATGTGATAGTGCACATCTATAATCCCGGTGGCTTAGGAAGTTGAGGCAGGAAGATCAGGAGTTCAAAGCAAACCTTAGCAAATGGGAGGCACTAAGAAACTCAGTGAGACCCTGTCTCTAAATAAAACACAAAATAGGGCTGGCGATGTTGCTCAGTGGCCGAGTGCCCCTGAGTTCAATCCCCAATACATGCCTCCTCCCAAAAAAATGTTTCTTAAATACCAAATGAAAAATATTTACCAAGTATATAATGATACTTATTAAAGTACTTACTAATCCCACATTTAAAAAAAAGAAAGAAATAAGTGAATGGCTTGGTAAGTATGTTGCAAATCAGAATTTTGAAAAAATTCAAACTGTTGATTAAACTTGGGTTTCTTAGCAAGGGTTGTATATAACATGTAGTATATTTTGTCCAGATGCTTAGGTATATAGTTCATTACTTATTTTTTTTCTTTCTCCATATTTTCTTCAAGGTATTTGAAGCAGTAATAGCATGGGTGAACCACGACAAGGATGTGAGGCAAGAGTTTATGGCTCGACTGATGGAACATGTACGGTTACCTTTGCTTCCTCGGGAGTATTTGGTTCAGGTAAAAACATATGCAAAACATATGAATATGCATAACTCCCTGTCACTGATCTGACAGTGTGGAGATCCCCACCACACGCTCATAAGATCTGCAGGATACAGATCCATGGAGTTCAGGAAGGAGGACAATTCAGACACCACGCAGTCTTTGGGAGCTGCTCCCTTTACGTCATTCCCCATTCTTAGAAATTTGTTTCAGCCCCTTTTTCTTATTTGGATAAGCAGGTACTACAGCTTTAAAAGGTAGTATTTGTGGTCATTTAAGTACAAATGATAAATGGGCCATGACTCTGTGTTACTGTTCTACATCTTCTTTGCTTTGTTCTTTTGATTCCCCAGCAGGAATGGAATTTTAAGATTTGACCCAAATACTATTAAATTCTACTTGATAGAATAATTTCACAGTGAGATGTGTTTAGTTTTTTTTTTCTTTCTTAAGCTGAATAAAAAAAGGTTATTTGAAATAAAATAGGAATAATGATTCCTTAATCCCTGACCAATTTTAAATTTACTTTTTTATTGGCAGTCTTCTATGAATATTTCAGGATTATTTTATAATTGAAACCATCTAAAGAACATTTCTTTATTGAAGGTTAGATCTGAACTTTTTAGAATTTCTAGAAACCTCATTATTGAAATTGTTCTGTGTAATCATTGGTCCTCTGGTATTAAAGAAATGAATTTAAAAAAAAAAACCTGTCTTGCATTTGAGGTCAGGCATAGTAAGGACAAGATTTATTTGTGATGCAGACATATTATTTTAACGTATTTTGAGTTTTTTCCAGATATTTTATTTACTCTCTTAGAATTGAAAAAAAGTATTATTAATTTATTAGTTTTGTCTACCTTATTTGAAGGGCTCATTATCTAAACTTTGTTTCTTAGGTTTTTGTTTTGCTTATTTTTTTTTAACTGTGTGACTTAATGTTTAAAGAAACAGATGAGTATAATATTATCTAGAGTTCATCATATTGTCTAGTTGACCTTGGAAGTTTTTCATTTTCATTGCAGTTCTTATCTATTACTTTCATGTGTTTTTCTCTGGAAGCAGATACATGAGCAGAAGTAAAGAGTGATTATAGAGAAGATGATTACTGCTATTTCCTCTTCTTTAATTCTGTTTCTTTAGTAGTTTTATTGTGAAATGGTTGTTTGCTTATGGGGTTTATCTCCTTTCTTCTTATAGAGGGTTGAAGAGGAGGCATTGGTCAAGAATAGCAGTGCTTGCAAAGATTACCTAATTGAAGCTATGAAGTATCATTTGCTGCCAACAGAGCAGCGGATATTAATGAAGAGTGTCCGGACACGGCTGAGAACACCCATGAATCTTCCCAAAGTAGGATCTACTGTTCGTACTTGTTTTTACTTCATCTACAGCCCCTATGGTGAACCGTTAATGTTTTCAATCATCCAAAATTCCATGCTTATTTTAGTTCCTTGCAAAATACAGTGTGCTGAAGAATGCATTATTGACTATATGATTTAATCTCCTTATTAATTTTATATGTTATGGGTGGGGTTTGTTTGCTTTATTTAGTCTTCATAAACTGCATGATATTACTATTATGGAATGGAAGGCAATTGGGTCTTGTCCCTTTGAATTTTACTAGCTCTTTTTATAGTAGTAAGCACTAGCTGTGGTCAAAATAAGAAAATCATACTAGGCAGAAAGATTTCTCTGTAAGAAATTATAGGATATATAACTGAAAACCTGGTAGTTTCATGGAATTACATATTAGAACTAAGGATAATAAAATAGTTTGTTGAGTTTTTCTTCCTACTCTTTATTGTATACTGTTTGACAGTTTCCCATACTACATATGTAGCTATTTCAACTTATATTTCCCATATCTTCCCATCTCACTGGTGTCCATATTTTCCTGTGCACAAGTTTATATTCTACCTTCATTTTCTTAGTTGTGGCCAGTCACGATTTACTGCTTTGATTTTCCTTACAGAATGACCCCTCATTTCTTTCTCTTGTTTGTAATTCTTTATCATCTATTTGCCTCTTCACAGTATTGAAAGACCAACACTTTTAAGCAGCATTTTGTGTATTGGCTTAATCAGAATGATCCATAGTATAATGTTTTATTTATGTTTGGGGGTTTACCTCTTGGGGCAATGCTGGATTAAGAAACAAGAATTAACTTGTTTTCCCACATCATCTTTAGTTATACTTCTGTCCTTTCCATTGAATTAGATCTCTAAAATTCTTCAACTTTAATGCTTTTATATATTATTTTTCCAAGTTTAATTTCTGTAGTCAACATTTTTAATTGGTTCATATCTTAATTGGTGTTTTTTGTTTTGCTCAATGTTAACATCAGTTCCCAATTTAGATCTCATTGCAGATTTTGCCATTGTACCATTGTAGTTAATTTTCTAGATTATTAGTAAATATATTAATTTAAAATGGGCCTCAGCACTTTCCCTGATAATACCTCATTAGAAATACCCACCCACTGACATAATCCATTTATAGAAAATTTCCGTCCATATGATAACGTTTATTATCTTAGCCAAAAATGAGAAATTTGGCATATAACATTTGGTGAGAATCAAATGGATTCAGATTTGTTTTTTTTTTTAAATCCTTTTGCATGTTTCTCATTATTTTATTGTTACCTAAAAGTTTGAATGCTTTTCTCAAAATATTCTAAATTTTTACTGAGAATTATTACTACTTTTAAAAAGGTCTTTACAAGGCATTCACTCCTACCATGTTTTGAAAATTGGTATTTGCCTTTTTAAAATTTTCTGATCTCTCCTCAGTTCTCCAAGATTTTTCAAAAATAATTGTAAGTGGCTCAGTAAGTACACTAACTAGTTCCCTAACACTTCAGTATGCATGCCATCTGGGTCTGCTGATTTTATGAGTGTTTGTATTTTACAAATACCCCTTTACTTGCTTTTATAATAGCTGTTGTTATAATTCTCTGTCACTTCATTTTTGTCCATATTAGTTGGTGTTTTTATTCTTATAAAAAAAACAGTTTATAAAAGGTATTCAGAGTATTGGCCATACATTTAAAATTACTTTTTTTTTTTTTAAATGCTAGTCTAACTTCTTTCAGGTTTAATACTTTTTAAGTATTTCTTATAAAAATAAAAAAACTGTCTTCTTAAATTGTATATTCCCTCTTCGGGCATCTTTAACTTTGTTATCTTTAACTATACTGCCGAGAATTTTTGAGTGAAAGTGAATTTATAGTTTCTGAAATACATGTCACTTTTGTAAACCTCCTAAAGAATTCTTGGTAAAATCCTATCAAGTGTTTTATTTTCTCTTTAATGACGTTGTACCTTCTATTCAGTTTCAGTTTTTTGGATTTTACTGGTATGACTTTGCCTTTCCAACTGTGTTATACTTTTCAACTTGGCAATTCTGTTGCTTATATTTTGTGGTGGGTAGACAGATGCATGGAGGTTCTTCTTGTATTCTTCTTTGTCAGTTTGCTGGCAAGGTGGGCAACAGGCATGGTAGATAATAGAGCAACACTGTTGTTTCCACTTTATATGTCTCACCTACGTGATCCCTTCTCACTGTTTATTTATCCACACATATTTTTGAAAAGGTACTTGTGTTGGGAGCTTTTCAGCAGCACTGTTGGTCCTTCTACAGTGGCTGTATTCAGGACTAATTCTAAGCGAGTAAGAATGAAGCAACCGTTAATTTCTTATGCATCTATATTTCATAGTCATGATACATTTTATCATCATACAGATGAGTCAAAGGGAACAAGATGTGGTGGTAGTGCTGAGGAAATTATTGTAAGGTTTGGATAATTTTTCAACCACAACAATGACTTAATCCTTTTTATATTAGGTTCTCATTTTATGAACTCATACCTATTGCATGTGTGAGTCTTTTTTATATGTTAAACATTAGTTTTGCATTCTCAATAAACAGTATTAGATTGTGTAAGGCATCCTTGGATTTGAACCTCATAACGAGAAAACAGTGTTTTGTAGTGTCCTTCGTTAGTTCTTTTTTTTTTTCTTTAGAATCTATACATTTTACAAATACTGTCTTATTTTTAGATGTATATTTTTACCCAGTGTGTCTATTGAAATTTCCAATAAAAAAATTATAAAACTTGGTTTTTCAGGAAACATTTAAAATAAATATTTAATAGGTAGAGAAAACAAAAAGAACAAAATTTAATTGACCCACCTTTCAGGATGATTATTTGAATCTGCTTAACTCCATAGCTCTTACCCTTCTCAAACATTACATTTAACTTTTTCCTATGTAATATTTTTTTCTGTTTTAATGTTCTTTTATAGCATAATTAGTGTGCTGCTTCTCAAATGGGGTCAGGTGTTTTTTACAAATAAGTGGGGTGTCAGCATTTTGAACAATTATTTTATAGTTAGCAGCATAGGTTTCTAGCACAGTGCCTTGATCTCTGTAGCTGCTCTCTTGTCTTCCCATTGTACATTCTCTCTTCTCTGATTCCTAGTCTCCCAATCCCCACCTTATTTGCCTCTCTTGGTAGTAAAGGACACATGTTACTACTATTCTCTGTAATAACACATTTCTCCTTTCATCCTCATTTTGATATGCAAAACTGAACTATTGTTTGGAAATCATGAGATTCAGAATTTGAGAATCTTGAAGTCTATAAATCAGTGTCGTTTTATAAATATTTCTTCTGAGTTTTTTAATTGATCTTTATCAGATACATATCTAAGACTTTTCGTATAAATCATCAGGCAGTTTTGAATACAGATCTTTAAATGCAAGGTTGATCTTGATGTCATTATAATTCTGTTAATAACTTTGCCCTCCTTTTTTTCTTTTGGAGGTGGAAGGGGAGGGCATTATGGGTTTTCTTCACTAATTCTTCCTTTTGCTTATTTGAATTCAACACTGGAAGAATGATAGACTTAAAATAAATTGTGTGGTTGGTCTATGTTCAATCTTATTTTAAGACCTTTAAAAATTCTTTCTGCCCTCTAGCTATTAACTAACTGACATAGGCTTCTTTTTAGAAACTTGGGATTTGCTCTGATTTAGGAAGCACTGTTTTCTATGTATCTATCTTTGTATAGTTCTAAGCATAGGTAAGCCATTGCTCAAAGTTGCAAATATCCCTGGTTTGCATGTATGAGTTATTCCATCTTTCTGTTTTGATTTTTTTTGTTTTGTCTTTAAAATCTGTTTTTCCTATAATCATCTCATCTTTTTTCCCCCAAAGTGCTGGCCATTCTTTACAGTTTTTCATATAAGACATCGTTAACAGTGACATTTTTCTGATTTGTCAGCTGTATTTTCATTGGTGCCATAAAGTGCCTGGGTGTACTCAGTAAAAGACACACATTGGTTTCTAAATTCCATACATCTCTCAAGGACCTGATTCCTCTCCCTGATTGAAGCTTTCAAAAATCATGGCAGCTTTTCATTTTCTGATTAGTAGAAACAATTACTGTCTGTACTAATCATATACTTTTTTTGATCACGTATAATTGTATTTTGTTCTTTAATTACTTCATGCATGGGTCCTTTTTCTTTAGTGAGATGTCTAAGCTCTTGATTGGCAGAGAGCATGTCCTACATTTCTTATGTATAATACCTAGCACAGTTTTGGGCAGATACACATGGTAGGGACGTAGTAAGGAGCTGTTGAATTGAATAGAGGACATTTATAGACCTCGTTATTCTCAGTAGGAGAGTATTGTGTATTTGTTTGTTATGATTTCTAGCATCTCCAGTATTTGTCCTATTGGTCATTTTGTTTTTGTTTTTTTGGTAGGGCACCAAGGCACCAAGGGAGGTCTATTTCCTTGAAATCCAGGAATCTATGCTCTTTTGTCAACAGCAGTTCAGTCACTCTTCCTTTCTGATAATTTTTTCCATCTTTCTTTTAATACCTTACTGTCCTTTTCACCTCACCTACCTAGTAACATATATTTATTTCTCTCTGTCCTCCTTGATTGTGGAAATCTAATCCTTGGTTATTGTAAAACCAGGATCTGGTTTCTAGCAAGCCCTGTGATTTTCCGCAGCCTTGCCAGTGCTGACTGCCTGCTGTTTTTTGGCTTAAATACTGCTTTTGCTTGAAGGATCAGAAACTTATTTTAGTTTCTGAAATCCTTATTTTTGACTAAATGTGCTAGATAATGGAATTGTAGTTCTAACATGTTCCCTGTTGTTGATGTTTACTACATGTTGTTAGGGGATTGTTTTCCTCAGCTCACTCTGCCATCTAACACCTCACACCAATCTTTGTAGGAAATATTAAATCTCAGAATGTGTAAGTATTTGTTCAAGTGCTTATATTTCTGCCCTTCCAGTTGATGGTGGTAGTTGGGGGCCAAGCACCAAAGGCTATTCGAAGTGTGGAATGCTATGACTTTAAGGAAGAACGATGGCACCAAGTGGCAGAATTGCCTTCTAGGAGATGCCGAGCAGGTAGGCGTGATGCATTATGCATAGTTTTCTATTAGTGGGTCTTTGAGAGCTTCTCTCTGAGGTCTTATTTTATTAATTAGAAGACAGACTATTACAAAGGTTTGATTCAAGCAGCTCTATGGTTAAATAGTGATTCAAGTATTATACAGTTTACCTGAAACATTGATAGGGCTAGCTGCTCTGTCTTCATTTTTAGATGTCTTTCTGGTTCTCTAGAATGAGCTAGAGGAACTGGCATTTTTAAAAATATACATATTTTTAGTTTTTAAAAATTTATTTAAAAATAAAATAAATTAAAAAATTTATTTAAAAATTTTTTTAATTCATAGGAGCTGGCCATTTGCTGGATATTTTTCTTATTACCTTTACAGAAATGTAGAGAAGGGAATTTTGAGCTTGGGACCCTTAGTTCTAGGAGATGTCTGACTCAGTTATAAGTCACAGTTGCTTTCATACAGGCATCTGTTTCATGAACATTTATTGAAATACATCTTATTTAGCCAAAAATGTGATAAGAAGAGGCATTTGTAAATGTTGGGAATCTTTCCCAGGACTTAATCTTGGATCCATAATTCCTATCTCCCTTAGCAAAATCAGTGTTTTAAATGAAATGGAACATTTCTATGATGGTTGCACTTCAACAGTATGTATTGGAGATTGTTATATATTAGCATATCTAGAGTTACTTCATTCTTTTAAGATTTATCTTAGACTGTGGTGTAACTCAGTGGCATGGTGCTTACTTAGCATGTGTGAGGCTCTGGGTTTGATCCCCAGTACCACAAAAGAAAAGAAAGAATAAAGTTGGCTAGTGCTTTATTTTGGTCTAGATGTGGTATAATTTTACTAGGTTGTGTTTTTGTTTTTCTGTGCTGGGAATCTAACCCATGGCCTCACACATGCTGGGTAAGTGCTTTGCTACTGAGCTATACATATCCTAGCTCTTTCATTTTTAATCAAATATTAAAACCTTTTTAATCTATGTTACTATAAGCAGAGCTACAATGAGTTCCTTATACATACATCATGGTGCACTTGTGATTATATATTCTTACAAATGAATAGTATTTTTTAGGACTTATTCAGTGAGCCTCCACTTGTGAGTAGCATTTTCTAACAATCACAGTAGACTTACTAGAAAGTATTTTTCATATTAGTGGTGATAGTTGGGTCACATATTCATCATCAAATGCTGCATTCTTTTTGCAGGAATGGTCTACATGGCTGGGCTTGTTTTTGCTGTTGGTGGCTTTAATGGCTCATTAAGAGTTCGCACTGTAGATTCCTATGACCCTGTGAAGGACCAATGGACCAGTGTTGCCAATATGCGAGACCGGAGAAGCACTTTGGGAGCGGCTGTGTTAAATGGATTGTTATATGCAGTGGGGGGCTTTGATGGGAGTACAGGTAATTTTCTTTTCATCTTTTCTACATTGCTATTACAGTTAACATAATAACCACATTTATGGAACAAATTATAGCAAAATTAGAATACATTTGAGTGTTTTAATGGGCATTGTATTTAAAGATGCTTTAAAATTACATCAAGAATTTCTTTAAATGATGTGTGTAAGAGTGCTGAGTATATAAATTTTCTTTATTATGCATCAGTATCAGTTATCTTACCATGTTTGAAAAGCTTGTAAATGACAGTAGCTTGAGTAGGAGCTCCTTGAAAAGAAGCTGTTCCTATTTATCATATAATTAACATGATTTTATTCCACCATTTTCCCCTTTTAATTTTAGCCCAATGTAAAATGCCTGAAGTATTTTTCCCTAATAATATCTATATAGAGAACAACTACATTTTTGAGAGGAGGAAATGAAGAGTATTGTACTTTATTATAGGTTTATCATCTGTGGAAGCGTATAACATAAAGTCTAATGAGTGGTTTCATGTAGCTCCAATGAACACGAGGAGGAGCAGTGTTGGTGTGGGCGTTGTTGGAGGTAGGTGCTGGCAGTTTTTTCAGGTGAACACTTTCAGGTACATATTGTTTCTTGATTCTGGAGAGTTCTAGTAATATAATCACCCATCTTCTAAATGGGCAAGCAAATTATCACTTAAAAAGAAAAATAATAATTGCTGTAAAATTGTACTTATTTTCTTAAATTAGCTTGTCTATATAAACTAACCTATATAAGGTCCTTTCTGTATTCCTCTCCTCCTCTCTTTCTGTTTGTGAGTGCATGTGTGTATAATCTATAAAAGACTTATCAACTAATCTTAATACTTTTGTTTGAGAAAAAAATCAGGTGACATACACAAAATTTTATAGCTAGAGAAGAATGTCTGTTTAACATTTTAGGGATGGATTGCCAAAGTTACTTATTTATATCCTACCTTATTCCCCAGTAGAATTTAGGAATCCTACAAATACTAAGCTTTGTGTGACCTTTTTTTTCCCCCTTTTTAAAATACTAGTTTACACAAATTTGTAGATTCTCATTCCCTCCTTACTACAGATATAATTCTCTGCACTTAAAAAGACTTTTACTAAAATGTAATTTACATACCATACAGTTCATTCATTTAATACATACAATTCTTTGTACATCTGTCACAACACTTCATTTTAGAACATTTTTATTACCCCAAAAGGCAGCCCTACTTCCCTTAGCTGTTATCCTGATCCTCTTTGGCCCTCAACAGTCACTAATCTATTTTCTGTCACAATGTAGATTTGTCTCTTGTGCACATTATATAAATGAAATCGTTCAGTATGTGGTGCATCATGACTTGCTTTTCTTACTTACCATGATGTTTTCAACATCATTTGTATTATAGCATTCAGTACTTCATATGTTTTCTTTTTTGTTTTCTGTGTCTTAGCACAGCAGTTCTGAGGATTAAACTCAGGACCTTACACATGCTAGGGAAATATTCTACCTCTGAGCTATATCTCAGCCCACACACATTTTTTTTTTTAATTTGCCAAGTATTTCATGGCATTCTTGTATTAACTCTTGATTTAACTTTTTTCAATTTATTTAAGATAACTTTAATATTTAATTCTGTTTTCTAGGATGATGCCCACTTTTAACTAGTGCTGTCTGGAGATAAATGAGTATACTTTCTGTTCTGTTAAGTTATTGATGAAAATATAAATTAGCATCATCATATATATTCTGCAGATCTTCATAATTTGATCATTTATTACCATTAGGGAAAGGATTAATAAATTTTATAAAAATCAGTAACACTCTAGGGCTGGGGCTGTAGCTCAACAGCAGAGCACTTGCCTACCGTGTGTGAGGCACTGGATTCGATTCTGAGCACCACATAAAAATAAACAAATAAAATAAAGGCATTCTGTCTACAACTACAAAAATATTTAAAAAAAAATCAGTAACACTCTAGAGGGAAGCTCTGCTACCATGGAGGAAACTATGTAAATATTGTATGACTTTAAAAAGTAGCATTTTTGTAAATTTGGATTTCTTTGTGATTCCATGCTTAGGTTTGCTCTATGCTGTAGGGGGTTATGATGGAGCTTCACGTCAGTGTCTTAGCACAGTAGAATGCTATAATGCTACAACAAATGAGTGGACCTATATAGCAGAAATGAGCACCAGACGGAGTGGAGCAGGTAAATATGAACCCTATATAGCAATTGGAGCACAAAATGAAAACAATTAAACAGATATAGTGATGCATTGATATCTCTTTATGTTATCTGGAAATATATGCTGATTTTAATGGTACAGAATGTCTTTTGAATTATGCAAGTAGTGGTAGGTAGCACTTTTATGAACTTTTATAAAGTAAAATTTAATTTCTAAGTGCTTTTTTAAACAGTTCCTTTGCTGGGTACAGTGATTCACACCTCTAATCCCAGCTTCTCGGTTGGCTGCACAGGATAATTGCAAGTTCAAGGCCAACCTGGGCAACTTAGCAAGACCCTGTCTCAAAATAAAAATAAAAAGGAATGAGGATGTAATTCAGTGATAGAGCACTTCTGTGTTCCATCCCTAGTACTATCAAAAAAAGGTGGCTTTGTTTTATTTATATAATGTTCATCATTCCTTTTATTATTTTGTTTTTAGTGTTTATTTGGGGACTTCCTAAATAATAAGCCCTTACATACTCATTTCTTAGAAATTGAGTGTTTTAATATTACACTGGATTACTTTTATTATGGAAGTTGTTTTCAAGAGGATTCTATTAAAGGACTTTTCCCCTGTATCTCACCTGTATGTTATTTTTACTCTGTTTGACATGTCTCTTTTTTCATAGTAATAGTTCTTATTTAGATCCTAGTTTATTCCGTTCTGTTCATTTTCATTTCTTAAATTGTATGCTTTTATGTTGACTTCTATTATGAATTATAATTTCAAAAATTTTAGTTATAATTACAAACTGTTATATATTTCTTGTCACTTTTTCTCTACTATAGTTGGTTGGTTGTATTTTGTAGGTGTTGGTGTGTTAAACAACTTATTATATGCTGTAGGAGGTCATGATGGCCCTTTAGTACGAAAAAGTGTTGAAGTATATGATCCTGCCACAAATGCCTGGAGACAGGTAGCAGATATGAACATGTGCAGAAGAAATGCAGGTATTACTAGCTTTAAGATTATAAAAATTTTAAAAGTCTACTAGTATTGCTGTGTATTTTAATTTTTTTTTTCTGATCTGGGTTTTCTGATGGACTTTGAATTCTTTAAAGGCAGAAACTTTCATAATAATAATATAGTAATCCTATAAAGTGAACACTTATTATCTGGAATATAATATGCTGTTGTCACACTTCAGTTAATTTATAATTTCTACTAGCAAATAACTTTTGGTGGTGAATGTGGATACTTATTGATTAAGGGTATATATCTTCATTTGATATATGAATTAATTTATACTTACCACAAGGCATGTATCACATCCTGGAGATCCCAGTTCTCAGGTAATTTGTCTAGTTACTTAAATATTTATTCAAGGTTAAAAAGCTAGTCGATTATCTGAATCTGGAGGAGAAATTTGAAGAGATAATCCTAATTTGGTATAGTTCAGGATCTCCAGAAAATGGAAAAAACGGAACCAACAACAATAGTTAGCTTTTTTTTTTTTTAAGAGAGAGAGAGAGAGAGAGAATTTTAATATTTATTTATTTATTTATTTTTAGTTTTTGGCAGACACAGCATCTTTATTTGTATGTGGTGCTGAGGATTGAACCCAGGCCGCATGCATGTCAGGCGAGCACGCTACCGCTTGAGCCACATCCCCAGCCCAATAGTTAGCCATTTTTGATTGTGACAGACCACCTGAGGAAAACATCTTAATGGAGGACAGATTTATTTTGATTCACAGTTTTAGAGGTTTCAGTCCACAATCCTGGCTGCATTGTTTCTGGGCCTGTCGTGAGGCAGTACATCATGGTGGAAGGTGTGACAAAGGAAAGCTGCTCACCTCATGGCAGCCAGGAAGCAGAGAGAAAAGAGGGGGCTGGGCACAAGACATCCCCTTCCAGCATATGCCCCCAGTGACCTGCTTTCTGCAGCTAGGTCCCACCTAGAGCAGTGTCCTCCACCTCCCAGTAATGTCCTCAGCTACGCACCCATCAATAATAACCCATTAGATTAGAGTCAGAGTGCTCATGATTGAATCACTTCCAGAGAGCCCCACCTCTGAACGTTGCTACACTAGAGACCACACCTTTAACACGCAAGTCTGTAGGATACATTACAGGTCCAAATCATAACAACAACAACAAAAAAAAAAAACAAAAAAAAAACAGAAAACAATTTCAAGAATAGAAAAGTGTTCAAGATTAGAAAATAACTATAGTCAACTTTCACTTAAGGACAGAGACAAATTTTGAGAAATGCTCATTAGATGATTTTCTCATTGTGCAAACATTATAGAGTGTGATTAGACAAATAGAATATTATAGGTCAGTCACTTCACATGTCCTCTTGATGCCATCAAGAGCCACAGTAAACAGATGTTTGAGGCTACTGCTGACCTAACATGACATACTGATAGTAAACTGTTTTTATATAAGTAGATGGAATACACTCTAAATTAGCTATTAAAAGTATAGTAAATATATAAGCCAGTAACTTTGTTGTTTATTATCAAATATTATGTATTGTACATAATTTGATATATATATATATTTTATATATAATTGGCAGTGCAGTAGGTTTTTTTTGGTGATACACCAGTATTGCTATAGACACATGAACAATGAATTGAACTACAATGGTAGGATGGCTGCAACAGGTTACAGCATCACTAGGTGATAGGAATGTTTTTTTAGCTCCATTATAATTTTATGAGACCCCTGCCATATATGTGGTCCATGATTGACCAAAATAGTTAATGTGGCACGTGACTATAAATGAAGATCCAAGGAGAGAATATACAAATAGAAAAATAGATTTAGGATAGCTAGATGATTATTTGGGAAATGCCAATCTTCTTCAAAATGCACTTATCTTTATGCTTTTTCCCATAGTCTAAAATAAATTCCCTATGATTCTAAAACTCATCTTACACCAAAATGCACCTCCCCCACCAAATACTCTTGTTAATTTCTCCTTACTTTAAATATAATTACTAAGGGAGACTAAGTACATAAGACTTTAAGGACTGTCAGAGTAGGGCAGAATTTATTTAACTCCATTTGAACTTGTACTTTATTCAGTCAGTTATGTTTGATGAGGCACTAAAAGCCCCTCAGAAGAGATAATCTAGAACCATGGTAAGATGCAAGTTCTGGGCCCTTAGTAGAATAAGTGCTTGACTGTAGTACATACGGAATTAGAAAAACCACAGTGCACATGCCTTTCTGGCTCAGGAAACTAATTTATAATTTGAACTTTCATAATTTTCTTAAAGATTGGAATAATATTTTCTGTATACATGTTTATTGTTTTTACGTCAAAAATTAGCCAGAAGAATAAAAAGATAATCTCTACATAGAGAGCTATCATTAATCTGCTCTTTAAATTTTTTTAATTAAAAATTTTTAATGTAAGAAGGTGGAAGTGCAGGACTTAAGAAAAGACTTGTTCTAAGTGTGTTAAAAAGTTTCATACTTTGATTTGGAGAACAGTTAATTGACCATTATTTGGTAATGATCAGGAATAGAAGGAAATGTAGAAACTTAGTCTTTACTTTCTGTCTCAATCAACTAAATCTATTCTCTTCAAATGATGGAATTTGAATAATTTACTTCTGTCATTTGAAAAATACAATATGATTTTACTATAAGCACATATTTTTTAATTTTTAATTTAAGCTCATAAGAGAATGTTTTTTAAAAAGTATCCCTCATCCCTTGTTTGATCTGAAACAAATTTCTGGTAAAACCTATCTAGCCCTTCCTTTCTAGTATTCTAAGATAAGGATTTCATTCAGCCGCCTAAATTGGGACAAAAGGACTGAGCTGGCAAGGAGAGCAGGGCATGAGTTCAGTTTTTTTTTTTTAATACCTTTATTTTGTTTACTTTTTTTATGTGGTGCTGGAAATTGAACCCAGTGCCTCACACGTGCTAAGCGAGCACTCTACCACTGAGCCAAAACCCCAACCATGAGTTCAGTTTTAAGTAAGAGAAGTGAGAGCATTGTATAAATTCGAATTAGCAAGCAACATACAAGTCAGATTTCCCATGTTTTTATATGTATGGTGAATTATGACATTAAGAATGGAGGAAAAATTTAATTAGATTATAAATAACTTGTCAATACTTAGCACGTCTGTAATAGGTTCTCAGTATATGTTTGAACTGAGAACAAAGTGACGAAGTATACCAAATAAACTGGAACCGTTGCAGACTGCAGGAAAGCACATGATTTGGCTTTCATCTGCCTAAAAGAATTCTGGTATTATGAATTAGTGGATTAATAGAATTGACATCTTTTGGATATATAGCTTATATATTTAAATGTGTGTAGAGACTGATTTCCTTTTCTGTGGTGGAGTTTTCTTTCATCTATGAGCTCCTTGTAAATGTAACTGGAGAAGCTCTTTAAGAAAGCAGAAGCCAGGTGTTGTGGTGCACACCTGTAATCCTAGTGGCTTGGGAAGCTGAGACTGGAGGATCGAAAGTTCAGAGCCAGTCTCAGCAATGGTGAGGCACTAAGCAACTGAGTGAGACCCTCTCTCTAAATAAATTTACAAAATAGGGCTGCGGATGTGGCTCAGTGGTTGAGTGCCCCTGAGTTCAGTCTCTAGTAGCCCCCTAAGCCCCCCAGAAAAAAGAAAACAGAGCCCCTTACTCATCTGTCACAGCCAAGACATTCTAGAGGCCATTTTATCTTTTCATAGTCATGTGTCATCTGTCAGTAAGCTGCAATACAGACTTGCATACAAATACAACAACTTTGGGGAACTTGTATGGCAGCAGTATTTGGCTCTTGGCTTTCAAGTATTTGAACTACTTCAGAATGATATGAGTTTAGCCAGGTATATGGTACATGTCTTTAATCCCAGCTACTTGGGAGATTGAGGCTCGGGAATTGCAGGTTCAAGGCCACCGAGGTAACTTAGCAAGACCCTGTCTCAAAATGAAATATAAAAAGTGCTGGGGATATAGCTAAGTGGTAGAGTGCTTGCCTCAGATGTGAGGCCTGGGATTAATCCTCAGTGCCTAACAGGGTACAGGGAATAAAAGGTAGGAATTTGCTTCCTGTGACAATAGTAACACAATTGAGTAAAACAGAGACAGTCCACTCCATTCAAGTACACTTTTAAATGCTGTGTAGTAATGTGGGCTTGTTATTTTATGTTAAAAACTCTATAAGCATATATTAATTAGGTTAGCAAAACCATCTTTAAACCTACAGAGACTAGTATGGAGCACCATTCTTGTGGATTCTTTGACATCCTATAGTATCAGTTCATAATATTTCCAAACATTTTTTAGGATAGACAAAAGTAAATTGAAATAAAGGTACTTTCTTTTCATTCAGCAGTTTTCTTACTTAAAATGTATATTGAGAAACAATCGCATATGTATTCAAAAAATCATGCAGAGCGATCCCTATTCATTGCAACACTGTTGATGAGCAAAAAACAAAAAATAGGAAATATCTATCAATAAAGGAGGAGTAAATAAATTATGGTATTGCATATGTAGGATACTATACAGCCATTGAAATTGAGTGGATCAATGTTTTTTAACCTGGGGAAATATCCAAGGTATATTGTTTGTTGGGGTGGGTATTAAGTGGCATGTATAGTGTCAGCTACTTTGGGGTTAAAAAAGGAAGTGTTTTGGTGTATTTGTGTGTATGTATATGTATACGTATACATATATATATATATGGGACAGGGAGAAGTCAGCCAGAGTTGAGGTCAAAATTTAAATGATGATTATTCTAGAAGTTTTTGAATTTTTGCAGAAATGAGTTATTCTAGTAATCAGATAATACTGTTCTCTGCGTTTAAAGGAAGTAAGATAGTTTATCATTCAGTATAAAAATAAAATTAAAATTTTTATCCTTTATTAATATATATTTATTCCTTAGGAGTTTCTAAGAAGCTAATTTTGTGAGGATTACTATTTTGACCTAAATTTATTTATTTATTTTTTTAAATAAAATGAGGAGCAAAATAGTTTCTAATGTATGAAGTAAGGTTGTGAGGATTAAATGAATAATGCATATATAAATTAACTGCTGCATAAATGACATACAGTAGTTGCTTAGCAGTGGAATTATACTCTCAAAAACAAAAGGAATTCTTTACATGTTCATCTTTTCTTCCTGCCTCCTTTCAAGAAGTTTCTCTTTATCACCTCACCAAACATGTATAGGGTAGTACTTGATTATCCAAAGACTTTAATAATTGTTTTCTCTCTGCATATTTTTTTAAAGGGGTTTGTGCAGTTAATGGTCTGTTATATGTTGTTGGAGGGGATGATGGTTCCTGTAACTTGGCATCGGTAGAATATTATAACCCAACAACAGATAAATGGACAGTTGTGTCATCTTGTATGAGCACAGGGAGAAGTTATGCAGGTAATAATTGTCTCGTTTTCTTAGTCTTGTATTATAAAAAGTTGACATCATTATGATTAACAGGTTTTTATAAGAAGAAAGTTTTTTCTCAATGTATATTTTTATCTTATTCTTAAAATAATTTATATTGTATGTGTAATTCTGAAATAAAGCACCCGTATTCGTTTGTCATTCTATAGTCATTTAGTTAAAATACCAAGTCTTTGCAGTACAGAACATACAGTAAATTTTAATATGTCCAAAATCTGTATACTACAGTGAGGAATACACTATGTGGCCAGGCTTTATTTCCTCAGATAGCCAATAAATATGGTTGCACAGGCGCACACCTGTAATCCCCACTGCTTGGCAGGCTGAGGCAGGAGGATCTCAAGTTCAAGTTCAGCCTGGGCAACTTAAGACTCTGTCTCAAAATAAACAGAAAAAAAAGGGTTGGGGATGGAGCTCAGTGGTAAGAGTGTGTCTGGGTATAATTTCTGGTAACCCTTCCCACCCAAAGGTCTGATCCCTTCCCATGGCCAGGCTACAAGAGATAGAATAGTTAAGCTATAGAGTAATTTTTTTTTCTTAAACTATATCATTAGTTGCATTATAAAATAAAATTTTCCATTCTCTTAGAGAAATGAATATATATATATATATGAAGTCTTTAAAACTGTATGTTGTATGTTAATTATTCTGATGACAGTGTTTAAATATTTGTATGTTTCTAGAATGTTTCTTTAACAAAATCGATCCAATAGTGGAGAAAAAAAGAAGTCTATACTAATTAACCATCACTGTTGTTTATGCATCGTCCAAAACAACACTTCATAGAAGAACTATTACAGTAGGATCCCAGAATAACATGACTCAATAATAGGTGAATTTTTTCAACAGTTTAATTGAGATATAACGACATACAATAATGTATATTTAAATATACAATCTGGTTACTTTCAACATATGTATACACCCATGAAACCATCACCATAATCAAGATAATAAATGTATCATCTCCTATTTTCTTTCTGCCTTTTTGTGTAGTAGGTGAATTTTGGTATTTTCTAAATAAAGTTATTTTCTCCAAATTGTGTCTGTAAATTCTAGTTATGGATTAAGAAGTCAGATGTAGTCCCAGTTTGTAACTAGAATTCACTGTGATTAGATTGAAATGATAGTAACACTAAACTGTAAGAAGGAGATTTTGAAGCATTATATTTGTTCAGTCCCTGTGGCTTTGGTAATGTAGAGTAACAGAATGCTGCCTGTGATGTCTGATTTACTTCTTCATTTTTTGCTCAGGGGTCACAGTTATTGATAAACCATTATGAGCCTGAAGGACATTTTCGGCATATTTACACATGAGAAACAGGCTTCAACAAGTATTTCTGAAGTGACTGAGAATCTAGCACTTCTCCACTTGTAGCTGCACTTTAAGTCTCAGCAGAAGATAAGATCGTCTGCCTTTATAGGCCTCGGATACTGAAGATTATTTTTGGTAGAAGCACTGTGTAGGCTTTTTCTGCAATGAGCAGCAGCTGACTGAATTTTAATAAGAAACCTGGACTGCAGTACTTACTCTGTAGTCTTTAGCTAACAGTTGCTTTCATAAAGACTAGTTCTCATCACCCTGGAATGACTATGGATTATTTTGTGAAGGAGGATGAAGTTAATGTGTGTTCTTGTAAAATTAAGTTTTATCTTTATTCCTTCTCCTGAAAATCTGTATACCCAGGAACTGAAAATCTTTGAACAGGTATTAAAATCTGCGTAAGTATACAAAGTGATTGAGGGATAAAACTATTTGCTTTTATAAATATCTTTGATTACATGAATATAATAAATTGTGTGCATATAAATGTGTGTCTATATGCTTTCCTTTAAATGTTTGAAAAGATGTTTGAAACTTGATTATACTATTTATAATTGGCACAGTACTTTGAATTATGCCAGTACTACATTGTAAAACAGAGTTGTATTTTTTGATATTTAACAATGCTTAACACTTTAAAATGCCACTTCTGAGGAATGAACATGGTGTAACACACTTGAATATGTGTGATGCCAAACTTTTTAAAATAAAGTATAAATTATGCTTATTTATTATTTTCTTTAGTTTAATCTTGGTCATGTTTTGGTGTGTATTTTTAATTTTTTCTTAAAGTAACACTTTGGCATGAATATAACTGCAGGTTTTTGATGAATATAATGAATGTATGGAATTCAACTGAATTTGCATGGTCTTAAGACTTTTTCTGTGTGTATAAATTTAGCTGCTATTAACAGAAGGAGAGAGCTTTCTGTAAGTAGCCATGTGCTTTGATCAGATAGTTTTTCTGAGATCTTCAATTAATCTCACTTTAAAGATGACCAAAACATGTCTTTCTTGAATTATCTTTGAATAAAAGTTTGTATATTATTTGTTTTACAATGTCCTTGATTTTTATCTATTAGTTTGATACTAACAAAGTTGTTTGTTGAAGATTTCTGTCCTTTTGTAAAAACTTGCAATTTCCAACTTTACAAACCTGTATTTTTAAATTTCTTGCCAAATTAGCCGGTAAGGTAATGCATTAAATCATTAAGTGATAGCACTGACATTGATTCATCAAGAACAGGTAACCATAACCATCAAGGAAAGTTTCTGAAGGATCAGTAAAATGTAAGGTTCATAAATTTCTCTGTCCCTCACAGTAAGCAGGACACCAGATAAAGATAAAGCAGGTAGCACTGGATAAAAAGAAGATCAAAGGCAAAATACCCTCTCTAAAGAAAACATTATGTAAGAATACCTAAGAAACTAAGAAATATATAAAAAAGAATCATGGAAATGTGAGTGGGATCTTGGGGTAGACAGCTGTGGTGCCAGACAGAGTAAAAAGGAAAGGGAAGGAAAGGAAGTGAGAGAGGACTGGACATTTCTCATGAGAATCACTTGAAAAGTTAATATGAAGAAAGCATCATAAATAAATAAATAAGTAGAATGAACATTAGAACAGAGGAAGGGAATAGGGGGAGGGAGAAGGGGAGAGAAAGAAGATGCACCAGGGACTAAAATGCAGCAAATGTAAGACTATGTCAAAATGAACCCAACTATTATATATGACCAAAATGCACTATTAAAAGCATCAAAAAGGGCCTAGGGTTGTGGCTCAGTGGTAGAGTACTCACCTAGCATGTGCGAGACACTGGGTTTGAGCTTCAGCACCACATAAAAATAAATAAAATAAAGGTATATGTCCAACAACAACTAAAATTATATTTTTTTAAAAAACTTGAAAATAAATTTTAAAATGCAAATTTTATATTATAATGCACTAATAAAAGCTTAAAAAAACCTTGGTAATCATGAGGAAAGATAGGATTTTTACCTAGTTAATATAGATTCTTCAAATCTAAACAGAAAACATTAAAATACTTGGTTGAACCTTCTATTATAAATGAAAATATAAGGAATTTAGCCAGAAAATACCTGTGTTCACTTTGAAAACATCAATTTCTGCATTAGTATGGCTCCTGGCTGGCCTATTGTCAGTAAACACGCTACGCTATAGGTCTAATAAATTTGGAGTTCTGTTAGATATTTCTGACAGCAGAACCAAGAAAAGAGTGAGGATGTTATCCTTTCTAATCATTTCTTATAAAAAAATGTAGGGAAAAACCCCTCAGTTTCTCCTACTGTACTCCCACAATGCAGAACACTTCTATGATCAGGTGAATGTGGAGTTTTCCCATACCATCTGATTCTCCGGTGGACACCCTAAAATTCACTTCAACCTCTGCCTGGAGACCTACTTGGAGCTACTGTCAGATCCCACAGGTTGAGACTGCAATCCTAGAAGATTGCCCCCACTTCAGAAGCTTATTGCAGGTCTGAGCCACTAGTACTTAACGACCAGTTGGCCACAAACTGGGTTTCCCAAGACATCCTCCTTGGTTAGATTAATTTGCTAAAATAGCTCATAGAACTCAGGGAAACACATTTATTGGTTCAAAGGTATTATAAAAGATACAGATTAAGAGAAAGGGAAGGTAGGGGTAAGGGAAGCACAGAGCTTTCATGCCCTCCTTGGGCCCACTGCCCCCTCAGCACTCTGTGTTCACAACCAGGAAGCTTTTCAAACCTTGTTCAAGAGTTTTAACAGCTTGCTCTCTAACCCTGACCCCCTTCCCAGAAGTTGGTGGGTGGGGCTCAAAGTTTCAATCCTCTAATTCTCTAATCAACTGTCTTTCTGGTGACTGGTATCATCCTGAGGATATCTAGGGATCCCAACCTAAGTTATCTCATTAGCATAAACAGGTGTGATCATTATGCTATTTATTAATTATTCATAACTATTAATAATATCATTCATTATAAATAAATAGCAAGACATTATTACTCAGGAAATACCAAGAGTTCTAGGGGCAATGTTAGTATGAACTGTTGGTGACAGGAACAGGAACAAAGACCAAGCATATTTCATATCATATCACAGTTCTAAACACAGATGTTCCGTGAAACTATGAATGTGAATTAAAGATTTATTTAAAAATTTTAAAATTTTTTCTTAAAATATAATCTATTAGGGTAACGAAGTCTTAACTACTTATGTCTAACACCTCTGACTTGATTTTATCTTTGAAACATATTAGTTTACGGAAGTTTGTCAGTAGCTGGATTTATAATATTGATTTCAAAGGCCTTACACATACCTCCCCTCCCCAGACCAATCTGTCTTTCCAGTTTGAAACATCTTGTGTTTTTGTTTGTTTGTTTTGTTGTGTTGTATTTATTCCTCGAACACAGAAGTGCTCCCAGCTGTTCTATTGTGTGGAAAAAAAGAGGTCAGAAGTTAAGTCAGAAGGTATCTTGGAAACCTCATCAAGAAATCAGTCCCAGGTTTGAGCAGAGTTCAGGGCTGATTAGTGTACCTGTGCTGTGAAGTAGCTCTGCCACCTACTTGGCTTTGTTGGCTGTTGTGATAGTTAGGGTTAAGAAGATTGGTATAAATGCTGCTAGAAGACTCAGCTCTCTTCCTGTTTCTTGAAGACTTTCTAGTACTTACTTCCTCACTGTCCCTTACAGCACAAGGACCCTAGTATTTGTAATCTCAGCCACTGATGAGTTAGGCGCACAGTGTAGCATAACACAGCAATGTGCTAAGGCTGCTTTATTTCAGTTTGGTCTTAAGCAAATTGCTTTCTACTGATTGCCAGTGCCTCCTTTTGGAGAGGAAGCTGTGTGGGAGAGTGGAACCATAAAGATTTTGGGATTCTAGTTCAGGGCTTCATCACTCTAAGGAAAAATGCTGTGTGGTTCATTGTAAAGCTCATGGACATTGAAATCAGATAGATCTGGGTTTCCATTCCCCTGTGTCAGCTGCTGACTTTGAACACATTCTTAACCTCTGACCCTTATTTTTGTCATTGCTAAAATGACAACAGTAGTATTATGTCACAAAGTTATTGTGGGATTTGATAAAAATATGCATATTTATTGTGCTTGAAGCAGGGCCCCTCAATAAGTTGCATCTGATGTTACTGTTCTCTGAGCTCTCTAAATAAGAACTAATAACCAACATTTACTGAGCACTTTTTTTGTTTTTTGTTTTTTTGGTTCTGGATAGGAACTGAACCCTACCTTGTGCGTGCTAGGCCAAGTATTCTACCATTGAGTTGTACTCCTGACCCCTTGTATGTGATACTGAGCACTTTCTGTATCAGATACTGCACTTGCTAATAAATGACAAGCCTAGTAAGTCTGACCCCATTGTGTATTTTGTTACTGTTGTTTTGACAGGGCAGCAGGTTTGGGCAGAGAGAAAAATTGGGTGGCAGTGCAGTTACACAAACTTGGCCAATAAGTGGGGAGCTCTGAAGCTGGAATGGCCAAGTAAAGCAGTCTTAAATTAGGGTGAAGGTTTGGATGTTTATGCTTCTGCATAAATCAGCATTGTACTCAGGTAGCCCACTTTGTGCCCTGGGGTGAGTGTGGGGGTGGCTTTGGCAATACACTCTGGAGGAGTGCCGTTTAAGTGCAGAAGGAAAGTTCTATGTGGGGCACTGGAAAATGCACTATAGGACATGACTCACCTTCTATGGGCATCCTAAAGACAGGGTTCTGTCTTTGACCACCCAAGTGACAGATCCCATTTCTTTTCCTTTGGTATGACCCCTGCCACGGTAATTTACAAAGAATGTGTGCACCAAACACATGGAATAGTTAAATGAGTGGGTATAGGTCCGCACTGGACCTATGAGAGACACCTCTCAAGAGGAAACTTCCTGAAGGAGATGGTACCTAAGTTGATAGGGAAGGGAAAGGATGGCTGATTATTCCAGGAGGAAGGGCTGGTCTGTTCAAAAGCAAGGAGAGGAGTAATAGCAAGAAACTTAAGAAACCATAGAAAGGGCCTTTACACGATATACATGTATTAAAACATTGCATGCTGTATGTATTTACAATTTTATATGTCAATTATACCTTATATGAAAACAAAGGGGTTTTCAATGGCTCAAGTGGTGCCCTTATGCAATTTTTATCTGTGTATTTTTTGGTAGATTATTTTATTTTATTGTTTAATAATTTTTAAAACTTATGACAGCGAAATACATTACAATTCTTATTCCACATATAGAGCACAATTTTTCATATCTTTGGTTGTGTACAAAGTATATTCACACCAATTCATGTCTTTATTCATGGACTTTGGATAATGTCCATCACATTCCACCATCATTTCTAACCCCATACCCCCTCCCTTTCCCTCCCACTCCACCCTATCTAGATTTTGTCTATTCCTTCCACATCACCCTCCCTACCCCACCATGAATCAGCCTCTTTAAATCAGAGAAAACATTCAGCATTTGTGTTTTGGGGGATTGGCTAACTTAACATTATTCTCTTTTAACTCCATCTATTTACCTGAAAATGCCATGATTTTATTCTCTTTTAGAGCACTAATCTCTAAGGTATATAAAGAACTCAAAAAGCTAAGCACCAAAAAAACCAAATAACCCAATCAATAAATGGGCCAAGGACCTGAACAGACACTTCTCAGAAGATGATGTACAATCAATCAACAAATATATGAAAAAATGTTCGTCGTCACTAGCAATTAGAGAAATGCAAATCAAAACTACTTTAAGATTTCAACTCACTCATCAGAATGGGAGTTATTATGAAGACAACAATAAGTGTGGGCGAGAATGTGGGGTAAAACGTACATTCACACACTGCTGGTGGGACTGCAAATTAGTGTAGCCAATATGGAAAGCAGTATGGGGATTTCTTGGAAAGTTGAGAATGGAACCACCATTTGACCCAGCTATCCCTCTCCTTGGTCTATACCCAAAAGACTTAAAACCACTATACTACAGGGACACAGTCATATCACAGCACAATTCACAATAGCTAAACTGTGGAAGCAACCTAGATGCCCTTCAATAGATGAATGTATTAAAAAAATGTGGCATATATACACAAGGGAATATTGTGTATTTTTTAATATCTTTATTTTGTTTATTTATTTTTATGTGGTGCTGAGGATCGAACCCAGTGCCTCACAGGTGGGAAAGGGCGCTCTGCCACTGAGCTACAGCCCCATCCCCTATCTGTGTATTTTTAAATGCACCTTTTTCTTAAGTAAAAGCTTTGGTTCTATAAATATGTATTATAACATCTACACACAGTATGAAGAAATGGTATGAGATATGCCTACAGTTGAAGACAAAGTATGTTAAGCCCCAGCCCACGTCCTCGGGCCATCATTGTCCTGGAAAGGAATTGCAATGCCCACACATGGGCATGCTCAGCTCACTTTCTGGGTTAGGTCGAACCAACCCAGGTTAATTGCCATCTCCTTTGATGTAGAATTACCTTCTAAACCTTTCTGAGCCTGTTTTCTATCTGTAACATGGGGATAATGGCGACTACCTATCTGGGTTGTTGCAGGATTTATGTGGCATTTGAAATTCTCTACCTGGTTCAGGGATTTATTAAGGGATACCTGGGGCTGGGAAACAAGGTGGAAAAATAAAATCCAGTCACTAGCTGTGACTTACATTACCTAACCTCTGATCCTTATTTTGTGATCACTAAAATGACACAGTAGTGTTATGCCACTAAGTTATCGTGGCATTTTAAGAAAGGATGCATGTTAATGTACTCAGAACAGAAAGCCCCCAATAAGGTAACAGCTGTTGTTGCTGGTGACCGAGGAAGGCTACACCGTCTGTAAAGAAAAACATCCAAAAAACTCATTTGTACTATTATCTTACTGGGTTTGATGATATAACCTTCAAGGGACTGTGGCCTGGTACTCTGTTCCGGGCAGCGCTAGCGCAGGATAGGGACCTGGCTGGACCGCCGTTGCCAAGGCAACGCCAGGCGGCGAGCGGGGCGGAGTTCGTCCCCGCCCCCTCACGCTGTCAGGCGCTTCTGCGCTTCCCCGCCTCCAGGCGCGCTGCGGACCTGGCCACTGGCTGGACGGCCGGATCTCACTATCCTCACTCCATCCGCGGAGCCAATGGCTGGAACCGCCAGGGATTCGTTGGCTCAAGTCACACGCTGCCGGCAATGGCACTGACCAATCATCGTGCGGAGAAGGCGGGGCTAGAGCCCTTACAGGCCAATAACGACAGGAGGAACCTGGCTCACCCTCTAGGCTCCACCCCCGAGCCAGGAGAGTTAGGTTCAGAGGCCGCAGCACCTGGCCGAGTGCGGGCGACGGTGGCCCGCGGTCTCTTCGCGAACGTCCAGGTACGGGGGCCGGGAGAGCGGCTCGTGCGCGAGGAACGGGGAGCGGGCCGGCTCAGACCCGGTGATCCGCGAGATGGCGAGGAGCGGGGTCAGGTTGTGGATTCGCGCGCTGGGCGGGACGCTGCCTCGGTACCGGTCACCGGGGCCCGCAGTATGTGGGGTTAGGAGCGGAGTCTATGGAATCGGTGTGACGGATTCTCAGGTGCCAGGGGAAGCGGGTCGATGCCGCTTGATTGGAAAGGAACAGGTGAAAACGGATTCCCGAGGGCTGGAACTGGGCGGAGCATGTTCCTTGACCGGGCACTTTAGAAGGTAGTAGAAGCACCGAGTTGTAAGAGTCTTGAAACTTAGATGCACCACACGAGAAATAGGATGTGTGGTGTATGCCGTGCGGCTAGTGGGACTGGGAAGGGCAGGAGGACCTTACCGAATGCTGTTTCCTTGGGTATGGAAGGAAGAAGCTCAAAAACCTGCAGTGCTCAGAAATTATATGAAGTGTGGGATCGTGGGAATGGGAGAGATGAAGAGCCGAGAGGTCTGACTGGGCCTCTTGTGCTTCTCAAAAGTCTTTATCTGTGGGGAAGCTGCCTCTTGAACCTTGAGTGTTTTAACCCTAGTGTTTAATGCCAGTATCTATCTAAAGAGGCCGAGACCGAGCATCTCCAAAACATGAGGGCGTTGGTACAACCTGGGTTTCATTAAGGTAAAGTGTCGCAGGACAGACATTGGCAGACAGCTAAACTTGTAGGTTTCTCAGAGAATCAACAATAACTAAGTCTCTTCTTTTTTCCTGAGAATCTCATCAGCCTGCTCCAGAGCAGCTTTCCGTCAAGCAGGTGGCCCAAGGGTGAGAAAACAGAAAATTCATTCTTGTAAAAGCTTGTTTCCTTTCTCCTCTTTAATTCCTGTTTTTTGCCTTTGTCCAGTTGACAGCAAAGTATCTGTTTCCCTCCCTTGTTTATGGCGGGCAAACTCCTGAATGTTACTTGAACCAAGTGTCTCAACATTGGTGAGAGCTGGAGGACATTAGTCCGGGCAGCTCAGATGGGAGAGATTTAGAAGCTTCTTTGAGATGATTTAGTAGGTAAAGGTGTGATTCACCCAGTTAGGCATTTAAGGAAGTAGAACATTTGGGAAGGGTGGGGAAGCAGTTGCTGAACTTTTGTATGTTGAGTGTGATGGTGCCTCTGAACTGTCTTAGGTGGAGATGGCTGATGGTCTTTTGGGTAATCAGAACCTAGAGTTTTGGGGAGAGGGTTAGAGATATCTAGGCAGCTATCAGGGTATCTTTTTTTAAACAGGAAATGGTTTGCCCATGGTAAGCTTGAATCGTTGGCATCACTTGGAAACTTTTCCAGCTTCACTTCTTCCTCAGAAGCTATGCCACACACATGGGAAATTGGAAAACACTCATCTCCTGAGGGGTCTTTTGATCTGCTGTTCCCTCCACTCAAAACATCTCCTTGATTCCCCACTCCACCTTACTGTTTTAGTCTGGTCACTTCCATCTCATGTTCCATGTCTCAGTTGAGATAGCACCTTTCTCTAGAAACTTACTTGCTCTTCTGTATCTTCAGAGCACTCTGTACATTCTCCCTTGTATTGGAATCACATAAGATAAGATCATGATTTGGTTACTTCTTTGCATTCCTGACTAGATTTTGTGTTTTGGGAAGTTGGGTAAGGGCAGCTACAGCACGGTGACTGCACATAGTAAGCACAGACTGAATATTTATCAGGGTGAATACCTGTGAATCCCAAGAACTGAGGGAGAATTAAAGAATAGAAATATCAAACCTTCCAGTTTGGTTAAGTAATAAACAGCAAAGAATGCTTATTGGATAGGCAGCTAGGAGAGCCTAATGATTTTCATTAGAATAAATTCATTGTAGTGATGAGGATAGAAACTACCTGGACAAGGTGGCACACACCTGTAATCCCAGCTACTCAGGAGGCTAAGGCAAGAGGATCCCCTAGTTTGGAGCCAGACTGGGCAACTTAGTGAGACCCTGTCTCTAAATAAAATTAAGAAATTTTTAATGTAGCTCAATGGTAGGAGACTTGCCTGACATGCATGAGGCCCTGGGATTGATCACTAGTGCTGTAAAAAGAAAAAAGAGAGAAAGATTGCAGTTTGCTAGGAAGTAAATGGGAAATGAGAAAATGAAGACAGCTCATGTAGAATACTTGGTTCAGGAGTCTATAGTAAACGATAGGAAGGATGTCCATTTTATTTATTGTTATTTCTTATTTAAAATAACAGTATAGCATAATGAATCAGGGTTTCCTCCACTTAACATTTGTATAAGTTCTTTTAAGATTTCTAAACCTCAGTTTTTCATTTACAAAGTGAAGATGACAAAAGTACCTACTTCATGAAGGTGTAGTAAGGATTAAAGTTAAAATGTATAAAGCGTGTAGCACTCATAGAACACAGATCCTGGAACATAGAAAGTGCTCATTAATTATTAGCTTCTTGTAGCTGCTATATGCCTGGCCCTATGCAAAGTACTTTACATGTATTACTTCTTGGACTTGCTGAAAGAGCTATTATTTATTTTTGTAGATGATAAAACTTGGGCTCAAGAGAGGTTACCTAACTTGCTCAAGGTCACACTGCATTTTGGAGTTTGGCAGTGACCTCAAGAAAAATGAAGATGGGAATGATTGTCTTATTATGCAACTTCAGAGGACAGTGGAGACATTCTTGATGTGGGAGGATTGCTGAGTGCCAGGGTCCAGTGCCAGTGTGGGGAACAGTTCAAGGTTGAAGCCCAGCTCAAGAGGCCATCCATGAGTCCAAAAAGAGAAATGCAGCAGTGGCCTGGGAGAGGTGATAGAGGTTAAGAAAGCTTTTCTTCAGAAAGGAAGACTTGGGGGAATAGGCTCAGGGAAGAGGAAGTTCAAGCGATGAGAATAGGATGGAAAGTGAATTCAGAGACCTGGAAGAAGTTAGCTATGCTTTCTCTTATCTCCCATGTGAAATGGAATGAGAGGTCAGAATTCAAAACATTTAAAGAACTATTAAGAACTTTTTCATGGTTTTAAAATAATTATTATTATTATTGGACTAGAGATCAAACACAGGAGTGCTTTACCACTTAGCTACAATCCCAGCTTGTTTGTCAAATTTTTTGTTTTGAGGCAGGTTCTCACTGAGTTGCGAGAGTCTTGCTATTGCTAAGGCTGGCCTGAAACTTGGGATCCACCTGCCTCAGCCTCCTAAGTCCTTGGGATTTCAGGTGTGTGTCACTGCACTGACGAAATATTTATTTTTTTAGTGGACTGTCATAAATTAGGTACATCAGTGAACATTTTCAGAAGGTGACATTCTTAATAAGGTTTGTCATATGTGTGTGGTTCTGGGGATTAAACCTAGGGACCTTGGTACTGCTCCAGCCACCTCCTGGCTTTATCCTCCAGAGTAGCTTGGATTAGTTTGGGATTACAGGTGTGTGTCACCATATCTTGCTGATTCTTTTTCATTGTTAACCTATGAAACTAATATTTGTCATATATAATACAACATGACAGTTTTAAAGATGTAAATTGTACAGAAGGTACAAAATGGAAAGTGAGATTTTCCTCTTCTCTTCCATAACACTCCACCCCCTAGAGAGAGACATTCTCTCTTTATATAATCTCTCTTTGTAGATTACCACTCCAAATTGTTCCCTTTGTGTCTTTGTGTACATTTTTCAAATTTGTGTGTATTTCTGTGCACAAGCATGAGAGTGCTTGGAGAAAATACCCAAGTATACTTTGTAACCTTTTAGCATATATTGGAAATAGTTTTCTGAGTTTGTCATTTGATCTCTGACTTTGGTTATGAGTATCTTTTTATTCTCCAGTCAGAATAATTTAATTTTTAGGTAGCTATATTTGCCAAGTGTGTGCTCATGCTATCTTATTTTGAGACGGAGTCCGGCTAAGTTGCCCAGCCTGGCCTCAAACCTGTGACCCTACCTCCTCAGCCTCCCAAGTAGTTGGGATTACTGGCACAGGAGTGCCACCATGCACAACTCAGTTGATTTTTTTTTTTTTTAATCACGTGTTTAGAACCTGAGAAATTGGTATTTGTTTAATAATTATCCTTTGTATAACTATCAGAAAGTACGTTTTGAAAACTGTTTCTTAGAATTTCGTTATTCAGCTTATTTGTTCACTTGTTACAGAATTGTAAGGCTACCTGCTGAGATTTGAAAAATGGCAACAAATGAAAGTGTCGGCATCTTTAGTTCAGCATCACTGGCTGTGGAGTATGTAGATTCACTTTTACCTGAGAATCCTCTACAAGAACCATTTAAAAATGCTTGGAACTACATGTTGAATAATTATACAAAGTTCCAGATTGCAACATGGGGATCCCTTATAGTTCACGAAGCCCTGTATTTCTTGTTCTGCTTACCTGGATTTTTATTTCAATTTATACCTTACATGAGAAAGTACAAAATTCAAAAGGTAAGTATGATGGACTAAAGTATTATAATTAGTATTGGTGAATATTATTAATGTGAATATAGTTTTGTTTTGAAAACTCTGAATCAGTACTATCCAGTAGAAATATAGTGAAGCCACATATGTAATTAGAATTTTTAATCCAATAAATCTAAATTATCATCTCACCAAGCAATCAAAATAAAAATATGTTTAATGAATATGTTGCTGTTTCATGAGTTTTGAAATTCAGCATGTACGTTGCACTTATTTTAACCCATCTCAAAGTGTTTAGTAGTCACATTGTTAGTTGATACTCTCTATTGGCTATCACTGCCTTAGATCATTATTGATAATATATCAGGAATTGTTTATTAAATTGGGCTTTAAGTAGATGGGATATTTGTCTAATTTGGGCTTCTAACATTTCATGTTTAAACTGACTGGACAGCTAGGAATAGCTCAGTGGTAGACTGTGTACTTAGTTTGTGTAAAACACACACACAACTAACTAGGAAAGAAAGGTATAGGCATTTGTCAGTATTATCTCTCAGTTCACCCCAAACTCTGATGTCCCAACCAATCTAAGTATATATTTATATGCAAAAACCTTGATCAGGGCTATTGGAAGTTTTGTTTCACTCCCTAAATATTTAAACCATCTCAGGTAAGGGGGTGATCCCAGATTATAGTGTTTGCTTCGGGGTTCTCAATGTCTCTAGAAAGCACACTGTGTAGATGGCTAGGTGGTGAGACATACACAGTGCCTCTTCTCAATTCTAGGCAAAATGAATAGAATAAGCTGTACTAATGCATAGGCTGTAAAGAATTTGCACAAGTGTAGAGAGAGAAAGGATTTATCGGTACTTGGTAAAGCAATGATAGTTTTTTTGTTATTGTTGTTGTTTTGTGGGGAGGTGCCAGGGATTGAACTCAGGGGCACTCAACTACTAAGCCACATCCCCAGCCCTATTTTGTATTTTATTTAGAGACAGGGTCTCACTGAGTTGCTTAGCACCTCACTTTTGTTGAGGCTGGCTTTAAACTCATCCTCCTGCCTCAGCCTCCCAAGTTGCTAGGATTCAAGGCGTGTGCTACCGTGCCTGGTGCAATGATAGTTTTCGATGCCACTGTTCGTTGCCCTAAAAAGTCACACCTAACTAAAATCTGAGGGCACATAGTCTTGGTATGAAATAGACACACGAGGGTGTTGATTCTCTGAGTGCGTGCATTTTGTGTCATCAGTCTGTTGACTTCATCACATCTCCTAGTGAGCCACTTTTTCTCTCTCAGGACAATGCAAGGGAGTCAGGGAAAAGATGAAGGGAATTAAAAGGGATATGGCCCAAATGAGAATGTCCTACCAGCCTCATTGAAGGTCACATAAGTTCCAAGGTACTTTTAATAAAGGTGCCTTCTATGAAAGATGGAATTTATTTGTCTGATGAATCTGGGGGTGATTCTGGCTGCTGGCAGGTCATCCATGGATTTATTTCTAGGGCTGATTCACTGTATGGCTGGCCAGGTAGAAGCATCCTATTCTTTCCTTGTTGGCCTCTGCAGTTGACTCATTGATCAGAGGAGGTAATCTTAACAGAGAAAATAAAACTTTTTCAGTCCTGGGTATGTGAATGGCATTAAAATGATATGTGGCAGAAGAAAGAGCAAGTAGTGATCCAGTTAGGTACAACTAGTTCTTTATAAACAGATTAAAAGACTAGGTAGTCTGGCTACAAGCATTGCTTAGCACATCCTCCTTTAATGTTTACTTAGTACTAAGAGAGTAATGTCAAATCAGCACAAGTTTTCCAATATAAAACCACATGTTAGGGGTTTTTTCACAGTAGAGGGTTGTTTACAACAACAACAAAATGTATCCCAAAAAGTCAGTGTAGGTTTATACAGGCTTCTTTTTTTTTTTTTTTTTGGTACGGGGTATTGAACCCAGAGGTGCTGTACTGTTGATTTACATCACTATCCCTTGTTATTTATTTTTTGAGAAAAGGTCTTACTAAATTGCTGAGGCTGACTGACCTTAAACTTGTGATTCTCCTGCCTTAGCTTCTGGCTAGCTGGGAATCACCACACCTGGCAGTTTTTGCATTTTGAAAGCAAATATTCTGATTAGCATTGAAGTTACAAGATTTCCCAGTGCTGTATAAATTCTAAGACAAAAAGCATTTTTCTTTTTAAAATTGCCCCCCGCAACAGAATCTGCTAATTGGTAGTGAAGTAGTACTAAATACTTTCTGCTTTCCAAAGGAATAGACAACTTGACAGTTAACACATGTGTTTGCTAGATAGAAAGAAATATTATGGGAATGAAAAAGTGAAGTAGGCCTTGTAGGATCTCTTTCTTTTAGAAAGTCGTACATTGTAATAATTCTCCAAATATTTTTCTCAAAGATATATGTGCTAAAAACTTCTGAAATCTCTGGCCCTAAAGAAGGTATTCCTCCTAATTAGGGTACAGTTAAGAGATATCTTCTTGGCAAAAATAGAAAAAAACAATATTTTAAAGTAAAACATAGTAAACTTTGATATTGCAGTAGGCTTGATTTTCTTTTTATTTTAATGATCTTTCTAATTAATATAAATTAAACAGTATAGCATTATGGTTTTTACTATCACTGATTAAACTTTTTAGTTTTTATAGCTACCTGCGCATCAGCTTCTATCTAGGAAATTAGAAGCACCTTCGCCACCCCAATCCGAATCTTCAGTTTATTTTGTCCTCAATCACAGACTGAAGTTTTAGAGCAATGGGGCCAAATAATGCTCAGAGCAGAAATACAATTGTAAATTATTTTGTATAATCTCCTCATCTTATTGTTGAGGAAGTGAGCATCCCAGGTTAGTTAATTGGTTAGTGGCAATCTGGTATTAGAGCCCAGGTCTCTGGATTAAATCTTAGATAAAGATTTTTCTTTTGTTGGGAAGATATCTTAAAAATTTCAAAAACAACTGGATCAAGAACCTAGATTTCTGTTGCTAATAACTGTGTAGTCCTGGTCAAGATGGTTGACCTCTTTTGGGATTCTGACCCATATTTTGGATATTGTGAGGACATTGTGGTTAAATTTTTATTGGCAGATTTCTTAATTTTTCTCTTTTTTTTTTTTTTTTGGTGGTGCTGGGGATTGAACCCTTGTGATGTGAAGCAAGCCTCCTACTGAGCTATATCCCCAGCCCAGATTTTTTTAAGTATGAATGTTTAAAGCAATACTACTGATAACTAATATTTGTTATCACCATCTTTATATAAAACCAAAAGTACTTTTTCTCAAGCAGCCCTTTAAATTAATAGATTTAGTGTTTTGATAATGATTTGCTAAGCAAGTTGGATCCTTATGAGTTTTTCTGAACATCTCATTACATTGATCTCTCTTTTCATCTTTACTTAAAGCTGTGAACTTCATCTTAAGGGAACATCTGAAGTTCTTCCAACTCAATAGTTGAATATAATTCTGCCATTGTATGTGAACAGAATGTGTTTATATCTTGGGATGAATACTGCCAGATGCTGGGCGCATCAGTTTGCCTGAGTAATAAAGCTTCTGATGTTGTGTGTACAGTTACATCAGTTGGGGTCACACAGCTGTAATCCTAGCATAACTTATTTCTTTGAAACTTCTGGCAAAAATAACTGCATAATATCTTGGCAGCAGACTGGAGAATTAATTCATTCTGCAGTACTCCTTTGGTTTGTTTCAGATCAGTATAACTATTAACAATTATTTTTTACCTGTCTAAAGTAGAGACAATAATTGTCAAGAATTTAGAAGAAAGGATGTTGTGATTCCAGAGTCTTAGCTACTATAACATAAAATTCACATAACTAAGATAGAATTAAGGTCTGTTGAAAATAATAAAGAGACTAATATTAAATATTGTGATTTTTCTCTTTAGGATAAACCAGAAACATTGGAAAACCAGTGGAAATGCTTTAAAGTACTTCTTTTTAATCACTTTTGTATCCAACTGCCTTTGATTTGTGGAACCTATTATTTTACAGAATATTTCAATATTCCTTATGATTGGGAAAGAATGCCAAGATGGTATGTCCATTAAAAATTTGATATTTGTACTCAATTCTGGCTTATTATCCAATTAAATTTGCTTAATATTTAATCTTTGTTTCTTCTAAATATTGGAAGTAAATAAGTATTAGGAAAGTAAACGATTGAGCATCTTTTTATTGGGTTTATGGATTAGTGGTAGAGCACTTGCCTAAGCATGTGTGAGGCACTGGGTTCAATCCTCAGCCCCACATAAAAATAGATAAATAAAGGTAGAAAAAAAAAGAAATAAACTCTTGCAGAAACTTAAAGGATTCCTAGGTTTTCTGTATTTTAATGTAATATTTTATTGAAAGGTAAGTTTCAGGCATTACAAGTTTCTGTGGCAGCCTTTATATAATTGTGTACAGATACACATGCTTATCCTAAGAAATGGCACTACATGTAAGTATAAAAATCAATGGAAGATGGGAGAATATGTATTCAACGAACAGTATGGCGATTATTTATATTATATAAGGTATCATTAGTAATCTAGAGATGAATTAAATGATGGAGGATATACACCATTTTATGTAAGTGGGTTGAGCATCTGTGGATTGTGGTACCTGTGGGGTGTACTGGACCCAATTTTCCTGCAGATGGTGAGGGATGACTGTTTTTTCTACATTCATGGGTATTCATCATATAAAAGAAGTCCTAAGTATTGTGCATGTGTATTATAAATTATTTTTTGCCATTTCATTTCAATTATGTTCTTTGGTTGGAAAGGTGATTTCACTATTATTAATCTGAATTTAATTTTTTTTTTTTTTTTTTAAATTTTGAAATAGGCTCTTCTTATGTTGTTCAGGCTGGCCTTGAATTCTGAATCCTCCTGCCTCACCACCCTCACAAATCCCACCTGTGGGATTACAGGTGCACCCCAACTAGGGGTGCTTTCCTACATTCCCCACCCTTTTTAATTTCTTATTTTGAAATAGCTTCTAAATTTCATAGGGTCTTATTAAGTTGCTGTGCTGGCCTTGCACTTGGAATCCTCCTGTCTCAGCCTTGAGTAACTGGGATTATAGGCATGTGCCTCTGAGCCTGACTAGTGGTCTTGAACTTTACTTCAGGTTATATCATATAGCTGTACCTAGCAGTTTTGAGAATTTGTTGATTAATATGTATACAATTATGTCAAATTGGTAGCTGGGTATTTGGTTTTTAATAATATCTCAAGTAGTGATTCCAAGAAGCCTGGGTTGTTTGAGTTGTTTCATATTCATAATATTACAATATTTTCATCCCAAAGGTGTATGCTTTTGGCAAGATGCTTTGGCTGTGCAGTCATTGAGGATACTTGGCACTATTTCCTGCATAGACTTTTACACCATAAAAGAATATATAAATATATTCATAAAATTCATCATGAGTTTCAGGTATGTTAGAATCATATTTAATGCTTTTTTCTATTAAAGGCAAAATGTCTACTTTTATTGCCTGAACATTTCAAAAACTTGTTGTTGATGTTTTAGTTCCTTTTCTTTCATCATCATTATTAAGAACATAGCACACATACACAAGCAATTTTAAAAATTTTCTTCAGTTTCTTAATTTCATGGTAAATTGAGACCTTAAGGAAAAACATTATAGGAAAAAGTTCAGATTTTTATCTCATTCCCAGAATGCTATATTGACACAGATACCTAGCAATTTGATAATAGCTGTAGTAATGGTAGGATCATTTAAATGAGATCCCCAAGTAATAAATCTTTAATGTTTAAACTTCTAAAACAATTATTGACTTAGAGGGTACATGGTGCTAAATCAGGCATCCCTTTTTTGGCAGAACAAATACAAATTCATAAATAAAAACTTAAGAGTCCTGGTAGGGTGGTACATACTTGTAATCCCAGCCACTTGGAGACTGAGATAGGAGGATCATAAGTTTGAGACCAGTCTCAGCAACTCAGCAAAACCCTGTTCGTGGTAGAGTGCCACAGGGTTTAATCCCTACTACGAAAAAAAAAAAAAGTTCAAAATCAGTTGTTTAATGCTATTATCTTAAACCATTAAAGACAGTTTTAAAGATTTTTATATCCCTAGACCTTTTGATTGGTAGGAACAAAAAGATACTTATTGTTGAGAACTACCATTGTTTATATTTGTTGATAGATGTCATTATTACATATAGAAACAATGTAATTTTATAAAACTATTAATAAATAGAATAAATGTCTTGGTAAGGTAGTGAAATCAATTACACATACATATGCATGCAGAAGGATTTATTTTAAGGAATTGGCTTGTGGGATTGTTGGTCCCTGGCAAGTCTGAAATCTTGGCAGGGCAAGGTTATAGGCTGGAAATTCGGGTAAGAATTGATGTTGCAATTTTGGGTTCAAATTCCACAGAGCAAGAAGCTGGAAACTCAAACAGGGTTTCTGTATTACACTCCTGAGAATTCCTTCTTGCCCAGGAAGCCAACCTTAGCTCCTAAAGCTTTCTGCTGATTGGATGAAGCCTGCTTTCTATAATGAAAGAGTAATATCCTTTACTCAAAGTCTGTTGATTTCAATATTAACCACATCTAAATAAAACCTTCACATAGCAAAATCATAACAGCAAAAACTAAGTGATATTAGACCACACAGTGAGCATTGTAGCCTAGCCAAGTTGACACGTGAAGTTGTCCATCACAATGTATTAATGAATTTGTGCATTATTTGTTTAGGCTCCATTTGGAATGGAAGCTGAATATGCACATCCTTTGGAAACCTTAATTCTTGGAACTGGATTTTTCATTGGAATCATGCTTTTGTGTGATCATGTGATTCTTCTTTGGGCATGGGTGACCATTCGCTTGATAGAAACCATTGATGTCCATAGGTGAGTTGTGGTTTCCTTGGGCAGAAGATGTTAAATATATTTATTTTCACAATGATAAGATCATCTTTATTTCTAAGTAGACTAATAGAAGTTGATCTTTTAAGAACATAATCATGGGATAAAAGTTCAAGTAATTGAGATGTTTTTATATCCCAGTGTTATCGTTTTTATAGTATAATGGTGGTGTATTATTTAAGCAAAGTAAATAAGACCATCAACTTCTATATCCTTCTATATTAAACCTAAATCTAACTCTGATTTGAATAAATATATTGAAACCTTTACCTTTCACTGAATAAACTGTTTCTAGCCTCTGCTCCTCAGCACTGATGAAAGCACAAGATGAGAGTCCTGCTTGTAGTATAGACATGTTTGGATGCTTCCTTTCTGAGGAAGACGTGATAAATTTTTCATATCGAATGTCATTTTAAATGCTTAATATCCTAATTTTTCATTATTTTAAAATCATGTTCATTGCATTTTGACTTGGGACTTTGAACTAAAACAGGGAATGCAGAATATCAGATCCTGAGAATTGTTTTTGAATGACTCAAGTGGCAAAATTAATGCTTCCAGACCTAGGCAGAGAATATCTTCCAGTAGAAAAATGATTACCAATATCCCAGTCATTCTTTTTTTTATTCTTTTACTCCTGTCTCCTTCTTGCTCTTCAGCCTCCTAAAGGGAAGGAGAGTTTGGGGTGAGTCAGACTAGTATGACTATAGATATCCCATTTTGGATATGTGGTGAGAAATAAAGGAGGATGCCAAAAGACCATCATATAAAGGGGGTTCTTTTTGAAATCATTTATGTTCATCCAATCATTTATGTTCTATAGAACAGCACACTAGTATTTTAATTAATTGTGGCACATTTAATTTCAACTGACTCAGAAATCCAAAGAAGGTGCTTTGATACTTGATGCTAATTTCATGTAACTTTTTTCCTAAAAAATGCATAGTGATATGGGCTTTTTAACTCCTCTTTCATCCTCTGATGTATAATATAGAATTTTCATAGATTTTTTTTTAAGTTTTTCTTTCTTTTTTTTTTTTTTTTTTTTAATGATGCTGAGGATAGACTCCAAGGACCTCATGCATGCTAGAAAGTGCTTTGCCACTGAACTATGTCCCTGTCTCTTAAGCTTTTTGCTTTTTTTGTTTTTAAATTTCTTCAAGTGGTTTCTAAAACATGCACCTTTTTCCATTCAATCTTTGCAAACATGTCACAAATTAAATGATGTAGGCAAAGTGGAATCTTCCTTGAATTAGTTAATGAGCACGACTTGATGAAAATGTCAGTTTTTCGAGGTGTGTTTCTTTTTCCTTAACAATCTTTGTCATTTTGTTTCAGTGGTTATGATATTCCTCTGAACCCTTTAAACCTCATCCCTTTCTACGCTGGTTCTCGGCATCACGATTTCCACCACATGAACTTTGTTGGAAATTATGCTTCAACATTTACGTGGTGGGATAGGATTTTTGGAACAGACTCTCAGTTTCATGCCTATTATGAAAAGAAGAAGATGGGGAAAAAGACTGAATAAATATCTCTTGTACACATCCCTGAAGATTCACTTTTTCCTGAATTGAAACTGGTAGCTAACATTGCTTCTGGGGAGCAGAAATAAGCATGTGTCTTGGCTGCTAAATGATACAACATCATTAACAACCTTTAATTATCTTCCTAGTGGGAACTTTTTCTACTTTACATACAAGTTCTGTATATGTAGGAATAAATAAATATATATTTGAGTATAACTTTCATGAGGAAGTTTTAAAGGCCGTGTTGTTAACCTTACAAAAAAGTTTTCAGTGATGGAAGAAATATACTCCCCTACCTTCACCTTCCCTGGTAATACCAGAGGCCTGAAGTTGACATTGGTCTTTGGGTCTTTAGTCTTTTAGATATTTGTCATTTTAGAAAATTTTTAATAATGGTCCTGGCCTTATATTTAACTTGAAACATTTATTATAGATTTTTGCCTAAAATTGAAATATCATGAATTAAACCACATCAGCTGATAACAGTGAGTGATGGATCCTGCCAAATCAGAAATGGCCAACATCAACACCTTCTACTCTCATTTGGAACTGACGAGTCTGGGGTGAATCCTTCTCTGAAGAGTCATTATTTATTGCAATGCGGCATAAGCATCTATAAATAGTGTTTCTGACTTCAGATATAAGTGAAATATTTTGGTCTAACGTTTTTTCAAAACTTGAAATTTAAAAAAAATATTAAGGAGCTTTATTTCTGTTATTTAACCTTTCATTTTTGTTTATCAAGTTTTCATTAAGGATGTGTCTTTGAAATTTTGTGAACTGACTTGCTGTATTTGCACTTTGAGCTATTGAAATAAATGTGATTCTTGTCTGATTATCTGGTTTCCAGTTTTGAACATTAACTGTCAACTTTTATTATAAGGAAAAGTACAGAAGTCATTAAATTATTGTTTCATAATAAAAGGATTTAGTTCTATTTTCTGAAGTGCCTCACTGTTTCCTGACAGTTTCAAAGTGTGTTTATCAGGATTAGCTCTCTATTGGGAAATTCCATTGAACTAGTAAAGTAGCAGATAATGAAGTCTGTTATGCTTAGAAAATGCATGTTTTTCATGCAGGTGGATGAATGAAGCTAAACTTTCTAGGATTGATAAAAATCTCAAGATTCTAGATTCTCATGTATCAAATGGAGAGTTGGAAATTCTTAGTAAATGGTGGTGGTTATAGTTACTGTTTTTTAAACTATGGTCATTTTCTAGGCCATGTTATATAATTTGTACATGCCCCTCTACCTATGTGTGCAGGCATGTACAAGTTTGTGAGCTTTTAATTCTCAAATATCAAGTTTGGATCTGTGTTTAAATTGGTGCTGTTATAATTTTTAAATCTGCCTTTCACCCCCAATGTAAATGCAACACATACATCTGAATTAGCAGTAAACGGTGATTCCCTTTCAGCATTTGGGGAGAGAGTGACCTCTACTGCTAGAAATGGTGCTTAACATTCTTTAACTACTTGGTGCTTTCCAGTTCACCTTTTTGTTATTGCTGGGGATTGAAAAAAAGCCTTCTACAGGCCAAGCATGCACAGGACCACTGAGCTACACCCCCAGCCCATTCTTCATACTAATTAAAGCTTCTCAAGCCTTGTTGTATATCCTGAACTGTTGTATGGGCTTCTAATGCATGTTCTCATTTACTCTCTTGGGTGCAATTTTCTCTAAAAGGTAAGAGAATTGGCTGAGAGGGCAAGGTCATAGGTCATCTTTTCTGACTTTAGAAGCTGCATTTGTGGCTATGGTCACTCCAGAGATGGGTAAAAATATCAGGATACTTTTTAAGGAGTGGTATTCAAAAAAGGAAGACAGTTCCTTGCAGTAGCCAGCCAGGAAGCATCAAGACTCAGATCCAAGCATGTTACTGCAAAATAGACTTCAAGTAACAGTTGGAAATTTTACAGTAAACATAATTAAAAACAAGTAGTAGGCTATGTTTATATACATGTAGAAGACTAAAATACTAGCTAATTATTTAGACCTTTGGACAAGATGAGGCCCGTGATATTTAATAACAGGCTGTTAGCTCAACTCCCAAATGACTGGGAGCTGGCCTGGAACTTGGGATCCTCCTCCCTCATTGGGATATGGGCTAACAATCTCATTAATATCACAGACCCGAGAAACCTAGGGCATTTAAATTCCATATTCACATTCTCTCTCTCCACAGCTGGGTAAGATAGTACCTATGTTCTTCACAAAGAGTGAACCCCTCATCTCTGAAGATTTAGTTTCTAATACATTCTTCCAAAAGAGAATTTTCAGCTAATATTCAGAAGAAGGATGTGCCCTTGGTCTAATGAATGCTCTCTGGCAGGTGACTGACAAAGGCTGTCTTTCTTAGGTAGAATCCCCAGGAGGCCTTCCTGTGTCTTTAAGGTATACACTTGGAGCACTGCTGAGTTCTGAAAAGAGTGAGAGGCTGCAAATGGATACAGGAAATAGTGCCTTCTAACTTAAGAAGATAAGCAATTTGTCTCATGGGCCACATGTGGGTTCACTGCATTCACAGAGGAAAGGGACCACAATAGAATAAGAGCATATGATAACCATGCCAGTGCTTGAAGCAGACTCATACCTACACGTAGGGATAATGTCAGGGGACAAAGCTGCATATACTGACAGCAGGCCTCACTCCTCTGCAGCTGGTAATAGGTCCATTTCCCAAAACCTTTCCCCTCTAGCCCCAACATGTTTCCTCATCTATGGAATGAGAATAGCACTTCCTAGGGAGTTTGGGGAATAAGAAGGACCCTTCCTGTGAGTGTGGGATGTAATAAATGATAGCTGTTACTTTAAATTCCCTTTAAGGAGGAGCAACAGGCTCACTCCACCACTGCTGTCTTTTTATTTTTTATTTTTCTAACCGAGGTCTTATTCTTCAGATGACTGAAATTCCACTCCCTCAGAGTTCAGTGACACCCCTATTGCTCCTGGGCATGCACCACCGTGTGTTGTTATCTTTAGCCAAAGCCGTCTCTTGCACACTTTGTACTTTCACCCTCTGTACCTTTGCTCAGGCTTATCCCTCAGCCACTGAGGGTTATTAGCATGGTCAAAGGTAGCGAGTGGCAAAGCTGGGATTTCTCACTCCGTGTTCTCTCCCTTCTGTCCTCTGTACATCTGGCGTAGTGCCTTGTGCATGCACGGTAGGCGTTCAATAATGTCTGTGATTAAAACTAAGAGAACATAATAGCCAACTTAATGCCATGGTGGCAGTTAAGCTGCCAGCTTAATAATCAATTCAGAAAGTTTTAAGTAATAACAGAATATAGTAGAGGGAAGAAAGGGCACGGAGAGAAAAGCCTGCTTTCCTTCCTTCCTTCCTTCCTTCCTTCCTTCCTTCCTTCCTTCCTTCCTTCCTTCCTTCCTTCCTTCCTTCCTCCCTCCCTCCCTCCCTCTTTCTCTCTGCCCCCTCCTTCCCTTCCTCCTCACCCCTCTCTTTCTCTACCACCGAGTTATATCCCTAGCCCTCTTGGCCTTGAATTTGAGATCCTCCTGCCTCAGCCTCCCAAGCCACTGGGATTAAAAGCATGAGTCACCATTCCCACAATAAGGGGATTCCTGAAGTACATGCCAAGCTAGAACCAGGCATGAAGGCTGCCTGCCTCAGTTAAAGTCTGACTCATCTTAGAGCTTTGGCATCTTAAAGTTTGATTTCATTGGCTCAGGTTCTTATGAAATATCCAGTTTGATATATTCTTTAAGGGAACAGATTATATATTAGAAAGCACTTGTGTCCATTTAGCATAAAAAAGACTGTCTACCCTATAAAGAAAATTTATAACTGTCGAGTCTTTTGGCAAGTTTGAATCAGAGTTCTGTATTCCATGATTCTCTGAGCTTTCTTTTGCTATAAAGTAATTCATCTGATAATAATGAAGTACCATGAGGGCATAAAGGAAGAAAATCTATACTATCAGATGGTACACTGATAGTATAATGGAGTGGGATCTGGACTACTTGATTGTTACTCTATCACAGGAAAATAATCTTCAAGTTGGAAAAGGAAAGCAAAGTGGTTCTGCCAGGAGGGAACTTAATTCTAACTTAATTCTAATATGGAGGAGGAAATATTTCACGAAGTGTCCAATACCTTTAGGTGAGCTTTGGAGTCTCTGAGTTCAGAAAAAAAATATTTTCATCAGGAAAAGAATTTGCAAATTGATTGTGAAGCCATTTTAGGTGACCAGACAGCAAGTGAGTCTTTTCAAGTATTGTAAGTCTTTTTCTGTGTGTTGGTTTCAGTTTCTTCAGAGAACCATCTTCCAATCTCTGCATGGAATAGAAAATGCTCAGAAGCCATTCTGGGCATCAAATGTGGGAAAGAGGCTGAGGATCCCATAGTCACTGTGTTCCCTGTCACAAAATCTCTGTGTTCTCAGACACAGGCTCACCACATCCAAAGGTTCCTCAGTGTCCAGAGAGTCCCAAACTTCTTGAGTTTTTCCAAAGAATGCACCTACTCTCTCTAAAAGGGTGGCTCTATAGAGTTGCAGAAGGAACCTTGAGCCTAAAGGTTTGTAAGAGTATCGAGCAAAGACTGAAATGCTGCTATTTGATATTTCACAATACCATGGTACTAGATTTTTATTTGATGTATCTCATGCAAACAGAATAACATTCCACAGCTTGATGGATGATCATATCTCTTTCATCACTACCCTGATCAAGGGCTTGACTACCTCTTTTATCAATTTTCTACTTGTGGCCAGAAATATAGTTGAGATTCTTAGTTGGCTGGACAATGAATCCAAATTATCTTGATCAGTGAGAGTATCTGGTGTTGTAACTTGAAGCTTTTCTTATAGTCCTGTCCTTTTAGACATGTTGCTGACTTGGATGAGGCCACTAAGGCACACTTGTCAAATTGATGACTGAGATGGAGGGAAAGAAAGCTTGTACTTCATTCTGCCTGACAGAATCTAGACCCCCCAATAAATACTTGCCTTGATTTGAAGTTCAGCTGCACAGATGGAGGACGGAAGTAATAGATCAGGATCAACAGCAATATAAACCTGAAAGCCTTATGGATTTTTGCAGACTGCAAGTGCTAGCTCCATGCTCACCCCAACTTTTTAAGACAATTTTAAACTGAATTGCTAGAGGGAAGTCTCAATTACAGAGAAGGCAACATTTTCTTTTGACTCTGCTTTGATTGGCCATACGTGGATGAGCATCTTAGGTTTCATGCATCCTATTTCAACTAACATTCAAAAGAAGAGTAATCAGAGATTGTTGATGATTTAGCAATAATGCCACAAAAGATTTGAAGGAAAACTTAGAGGGATAGTCTAGAACAGCTGTCTCAAGTACAGTGATCATTAACCAAGGTGGTCACTGACATATTGCAGGAAGTTCTATCACACAGAACTGGCTAGAAGAAAATAGGCCTAATTAGAAATATTAAAAGTGCCTTTGTTATGGTTTGGATGTGAGGTGTCTCCCCCAAAGTTCATGTGTGAGACAATGTAAGAACATTCAGAGGTAAAATGATTGAGTTATGAGAGCCTTCACCCAATCAGTGAATTAATACCTGATAGGGATTAAATGAGGAGTAAGTAACTGCAGGTGGTAGGGTCCGGTTGAAGGAGGTGGGTCCCTAGGAGCGTGCCTTTGGGGTATATATTTTGTATCTGGTGAGTGGAGTCCCTCTCTCTGCTTCCTGATCATTATGTGGACCACCTTCCTCCATTATGCTCTCTGGCACAATGTTCTGCCTCACCCTCAAGCCCAGAGGCATGGAGCCAGCTGTCTCTGGACTGAGTCCTCTGAAATCGTGAGCCCCCAAATAAACTTCTCCTCTTCTATATTGTTCTCGT